ATTAGTTTTGTTTTTGTTTTTTGTAGTTTATTGCATTCTCTTAAGTGGTCTCCCTATTTCTCTTGATCCTGGAGGTTATTAGTAGCTTCATTGAAGCTACCTTTTTAAGGTATTCATTTGTGAACCCTTCATATAGCAAGCTGCCAATGTGGTGCTTTCTTTAAAACTGAGTTGGATCCTGTCATTTCTCTGCTTTCCATGTCATTGGGAGTAAATAACTATAGTTTCAGCAGTGGCTTCTGAAGCCCTTTGTTGTATGTTTTCTTCTCACAGACTAACCTGTGCCCACCACCCACCCCCATCCCCGTTTCAGCCATACCAAGAGCATTGCTGCTCCTGGGCTTGATGCTTACCCTCCCTGTGCCTGGTACATGCTTTCCCGGAGTTGTACTAACTCCATTCACTTTCCTTAGTTCTCTTAAAAAAAGAGTCACCATCAACTCTTACATAAGAACATTCCCTGCCACTGTAAACTGCTTAATTTTTTCCAAGGTGCTGATATTTGTTGTTAATTATTTATTAAGTTACTTAACTAATTTATTATTTCCTAGTACTTTCTCCCAGCAGAATACCTGTATAAGCACAGATGAGGGCAGAAACCTTGTTTTGTTTCCTGTAACCTCAGTGTCTGTAGCAGTATCTGGAATGTAGTAGATGTCTAATGACTTTCCTGACATTTTTATATTGGGAAATCAGAACAGAGAAAAATTTGTAGTTATTATGCCACTTGGAGCTGCCAGTACTCCTTTCTTTAATTTTTTTTTTTCTAGCTAGGACTGGTGGCAAATAGTAGAAGCTCTCAGTACTCTGGGAGGCAGAGGTAGGAGAATCGTGTTTAAAACCAGCCTGGGCAATTTCATGACTTAACAAGGCCAGGGCTGTAATTTTAAAAAGGGCTGGGTTGTAGCTCACTGGAAAGGCCCTGGGTTCAATCCCTAGTATCACCGAATGAATGAATGAATGGAGTAACTGCCAGTTTTGCATAAATTTGAAGAAGTAATTTTTACATCTAAATATAGCCAGTGGTCAATTAGTTCAGAGATTACCAACCAAATGAAGACCCTGGGGACATCTCCTTGTAAGCCTGCTGTGTTCCTTGGCAGAAAGATTGTACTTCTGGGGATGGGTTGGTGGGGAAGACATGGACAGACGGACTTGGTACAGGGGTAGGGGACTGGTACCCAGGAAGCCAGTATCTTTGACTCCTGTTTTTCTTTAGTCTACACTAGTGTAGACTTAGGTTAGTTTTTTTTGGGGGGGGGTACCGGGGATTGAACTCGGGTCCTTGCACCTGCATAGCAGGCAGTGAAACCACTGAGCTAAATCCCCAGCCCAGGTTAGCTTTTTTTTTTTCCCCTCAGTACTGAGGATCAAACTCAGGACCTTGCACTTGAGAAGCAGGCGCGGCACTGCTGAGCTAAATCCCCATCCCAGGTTAGCTTTTGTGGTGCTATAAGGAAAGATCACCCCACATTTCCACACTCATCTGGGCAGAACAAGTGATCTGGTAGTTAGTATAGTGTATGTTCATTTTGCGAGGCAAGTGGCAGAACCACTGAGCTAAATCCCCGGCCCTTAAGTGTATGTTCATTTTGAACTAAAATTTTATAAATAGCCCCAAAATTACTGATAGCTTTATTAGAACTGAGTTTATAGAATTTTCATTTGTGAGCTTCCATAAAGCTTTTATCTTAACCCCTATCATATGGTCATGTGGAGAATCTGGTGTCTGTGCTAGGCTGTATCTGGACACGTGTGTTGTATTCAGGTTAGTGAAATTTAGGCCCATTCCATGATTGACAGAAGTACCTATTACACTAAGGCAGTGATGGTGAACCTTACAGAGATTTTAGTGATAACAAACAGCTGGCTGCAACACATGTGCCATAGGTTTGCCACCACTGCACTAAGGGATCTTCAGTTCAAACAATAATTAGTTGACCACAATATAGAAGAGACCCCAGTTGTTATGGTTTGGATTATTAATCCACAATTAATTGAAATTATGGATAATTTTAAATGTATTTCAGTCTGTATTTTATGAACTGGGCTGATATGTGCTACTGCTGAAATGATTTATTGATGAACTTCTAATTCTCAGAAAATGTTAGGTTGATATATATGACTTCCTCAAAGTAATCTTTCTATTCCATAATTTTTCATAAAATTTTGCCGTCTGTTTTTACTCTGTTCTTTACCCTGACAGATACAAAATGAATGACTAAGCAGTTTAGAGTAATAGTTTCACACTGGAGTTTGTACCACTTGTGGGTCTCATTAACTACTTACTGAGTCAACCCTGAATTTTCTGCTTTGTGTCTCCTGAGTGGGAATCTTGCTTGAAATTCCATGTAATTCTCCAAAGATGGCTTAAATTTTGTGTGTCTGTTACTTTTACCTAAAATTGAGTTTCTCTTTTCTATTCCAAATAGGTCTATTTTATGTCATATCATTGAGGGAAATTAGGACTCGTAAGAGATTAAAAAATACCTTCAGTCATCCATGAGTGTGTCTCATATGGGGCATTCTAAGGATGATGTACTCCCTAAAAGACAAGAAGCATTTTACTTTCTCCTTGTGCTTTTTCTCTAGAGGTGTAGAACTACTAGGAGCTGAGGCAGAAGCATAGTAGTCAGTGGTAGGGAAGTCACTGGTGGTAGTAGCTCTGAGTCCTCCTGCCACTTCTGTACCTGTGTTGGAGTTTCTCTCGCTGCCCTTAGCACCGTGACCAGCTTGAGAAAGAGGATTTGAAGAGTCAGGAAGTAACTTTAATTTACAGTTTCAAAAAAAAAAAATACAGAAATAGAGTGTCTGTGATGTAGTTTAAACCACAATCTAATTTACTTATCCTTTCATTAGTTGAGTGCCTCTGATCTATGTGTTATGCTAGAGATAAGAAGAATGGATTTTTGACCTCATGAACTCTGTAAATAAAGAAAGCAAATGATTAGTTATAAAAATAGCAACCTTAAGGGCTTTCACCTAATTTTTATGGTAGGGACGTGCAACTGGATTTGGCAGTGAAAGTCAAGGAAAACTTCATACAGGACCTAAATACTGAGCTAGGGCTTGAAGTAATTAGCCAAATAAAAAAGACAGAGGTTGTAATAGTCCAGGCAGAGGAGAAAGGTGTAAGAGAGTAATGGTGTGTTTTTTCACAGCTTTCCTGTGTCTGGATGCTTCAAAAGTGTACTGCTCTTGGGGCCAGGGATTTAGCTCAGTGGTTTCGCCGCCTGCTGTGCAAGCACAAGGACCCAAGTTTGATCCCCGGTACCAAAAAAAAAAAAGTGTACTGCTCTTGAGTTCTATGCCTTTTCTGTATGTATAAATACATATAGAGTATTTGATCATCAGCAAGAGGTCTTGTATTAAATTTGGCAAAATTTAACATTTGAATAATCTTTCACTTATATGTGATGTAGTTGTACTTACCCTTCCTTCCTTCCTTCTTTCCTTCCTTCCTTCCTTCCCTCCTTCCCTCCTTCCCTTCCATCCTTCCTTTCCTTCCTTCCTTCCTTTCTTTGTACCAGGGATTGAACTCAGGACCTCGTGCTTTCAAGGCAGGTGCGGTGCCACTGAGCTAAATCCCCACCCCTTTACTTAGCCTTTCGTATAAGTTAAGCAACAATATATCTGTAGGATTAAGAAAATCAAAAGGCAAAGTTGAGTACTAATCAGCCAGGGATTTAGCTCAGTGGTGCCTCTGCCTGCCCTGCAAGCGCAAGGTCCCGAGTTTGATCCCTGGTACCAAAAAAAGAGTTGAGTACTAATCAAATTTAAATAAAAAGGACCTAGGAAAAAAGTACATATTAAAGACTGTTAAACTGTACTCAGCACCATTCAGATATCCTACCTTTCACCTGAGCATGTTGCTTGGTGCACATTTTATCCCATAGTAATTCATCTAGTCCTGAGGTTAAGTAAAAAATAGGTGTTTTGTGTCTGTATTGAGTATTATTACACACATATCCAGGTATGCATTTCTAGGAGTATTTCAGAATAATTTACCTCATGGAATAGGGGTATAGCTCAATGGTAGGGTATACTTGGCATATATGAGGCACCAGGTTCAGTCCTTAGCACCAAAAAAGTTTATCATTTGTACTTTTCCATGTGATTGTGAAAAAGTAAGAAATTATCTCTTGTCTGGTCTAATTAAAAGATCCATTGGCAAAAGTACTGGGTTCTACTCACATCTCTGCTGCAGGCTGATTGTGGCCATGGGAATATGGCCCCCATTTCATTTGTAAATTGGAAGATATTGTGCTTGTACTCCTAAAGTTCCTTTAGCTCTCAGGTTCTATATGTTCATATCTTAGGACCTTTTTATTCTGACTTTTGCATAATTCCATGATGGAGTGATATCAGGAACATCATTTTTCTCATTCTATTAGGAACAATCTACTCAACCCTCATTTGAAATTATAAGAATCCTTTCACTACCCATACCATTCTTTTTTCAAATTCAGCTAATTAAAATTTAGATTATGAGGGATACCTATGTATTACCAGATATATAGTAGTCTTTCAATTTTGTGGCCATTGTAAAGTAACAGTAAAGCACATATTTCCAACCAGGTACTATTTTGATATCTAAATACTGTTTCTTCAAATACCTTGAAAGTGACTTCAGACTAACAGCAAAAAAGATGTGAAGCCCTTTACTTTCCTTACTCTGATCCTTCTGCTAAATTTTGTTTGTAGGTTTCTTTATAGTGTAAGTAATGAGTAGTTAACTTGACAGTTGTCCCTTATCCTGGTAGATAAAGCTTTACATAGGTCTCTTTTCCTTGGGACAAAGGAGATACAGTAATTGCCTTAGATAGTTTACTCAGAGCTCATAGACTTACCAAAACATGTAATTTGAGCAGATTATAGATCTCTACCTAGGTATTAGCATAATAAGGAGCAAAGATGATTCTTATTGATTGGTAACTGAAAAGGGTAAATAATTAATGAGCACCTACTCTTTGCCAGTCAACTTTTTTTTTTTTTTTTAGTACCGGGGATTGAACTCAGGACCTTGCACTTGCCAGCCAGGTGCGGCGCCACTGAGCCACTTCCGGCCCTTTGTAGTCACCTATTTTAAGCACAAGGAATGAACAAGTCCCTGTGTTACTGTAGAGTCTGGAGGAGCTGTAGTCCTGAGCATGGTATGATATCATGGCGGGGGGGGTCGGGGGGTGTTAGAGGTATCATGGCAAAGTGGCCTTTAAAAGAGTGGACACATTAATTACTAAGTTAATTTTAATCATATGTATCTTTCATAGGAGCTTAGGTTTCTGTTTAGCATGGTTTTTCATGTATTTACCTCCCCATTTTGTTTTGTTCTTCATGTTTTGTTTCCATTAGGAGAGAACATTGAAATTATTTTCTAAGCTATTTGAAGAGAGTGACTAAATGCACCTGGGTCAGGCTGTCTGTGGGTATGAAGTGGTTGGGAGAATCCAAGAACATGGTGGTGAATGGCAGGAGGAATGGAGGCAAGTTGTCTAATGATCATCAGCAGAACCAATCAAAATTACAGCACACAGGCAAGGACACCTTGAAGACTGGCAGAAACACAGTTGAGAGGAGGTCAAGCAGATGTATGTACACACTTAACTATCACTCCTTTGATTGTGATATGGGACGGTAATTCTTGCCAGTTTGTAATTTGTGTTTTCTTTTGTCTTCAAAACAATTTTGTACATTCTCATAATTAACAGTATAGTTTTTTATTCTCAAAGTTACCAGTTTTTGTTTTTATCAAACAATATGTAAAACAGGTTAATGCTTTATATATTATTAATTATGGTTTTCTGTTGATAACTTTGTATTTTATAGATTTTACACCTGAATACTTGATCTGTTCTATAAAAAATATAAAGATACCACAGCTGAATTTCTTATAAGTTTAAATTGCATTTTTAATATTCCATGTAAGTGTGAATACTTTTTTGGTAACTTCCATAAATGTTTCATGGAGTAATATAAATAATGAAGTCACTATAATTTAGAAGGTGAGTAGAATAGAGGACAGATAGAACTGACTGCTTTAGGGCATCTTTGCAGATCGAAGTTAGTCTATTTATACAAGGGAACCATTTATCCCAACAATGCTAATAAGTTGCTTTCTTACCACTGTACTTCTTGGAGGCTTGTTCTGTCAGAGTAGTAAGATGCCTGAGAATAAATATTAATACAAGTAGGCAGTTATATGAAGGTTGCCCAAAAGTGTGTACTCTTGACAACCTTTTCAAGAGTTAAGACAACATTTTCAGTTTCTGCTTTTCCTAACAATAATCTACCCACTGCTGAATATTCTCAGTTTGTGTTGGGATTAGCCAATGCCCAGTGCTTTGGATCAGTCTAGGGTTTTCTGCAGTTTCAAATAGATTGCATAGCTCTGATCCATTTCCTTACCTTTTAGGGGATTATGTTATTCATTGGGCCTCAGCTGCCCTTACTTTTTCATATCAGATCAGGTCACTGTTTCTGTGGAAAACCAGTCAAAATTCCTACTTGGGGTAAGAATAGGAGAGAGCCCATTGGGTATGATGGCTTGTGTCTCTATCCTCAGCTACTGGGGAGGTTAAAGCAGGAGAATCGCAAGTTTGAGGCCAGCTTAAGTTTGGGCAGGGTTAGTGAGGTCCTATCTCAAAAACAAAAAGGATATAGACGGGCTTCCATGAGACCCTGGGTTTAATTCCCAGTACTGCAAAAAATAAAATAAAATAAAGAGAGCCCAAGACTGACTGGGCTGTTCTCCACGTGGACACCAAGTCACCACCCCCCAAGGCTGCCATCAGCATGTGCCATATTCCTGTCTTATCCCTTAGCATTTAGTGGGAACCTAAAGGCTTGAAAAATGTGAACAAATGTGACAAAATTGAAGGGAAAAATAGACAATTCAATAATAATTTGGATCTTTCAATATTCCACTTTAATAATAAAACTAGACAGAAGATCAACAGTAAAGAGTGAACTTAACCATATAAACCACCTAGACTTATGGTTATCTGTAGAATGCTATTCTGTATCGATAGCATGCTATTCTATTCAAAAATAGAAGAATGAATGCACATTATTCTGAAATACACATGGGAAATTCTCCAGGACAGGATACATGACAAGCCTCAATAAACTTAATTGAAATCATAAAAAAAAAGTTCTCTAAATATTTACTACAGTGGAGTAAAATTAGAAATCACTAATACAAAGAAATTTGAGGATTTTTTTTTTTTTTTTGGCACTGGGGATCAAACTCAGGACCTTGGCTTGTGAGGCAGGCACGGTGCCACTGAGCTAAATCCCTGGCCCAGAAATATGAAGATTTTACTAAATGCATGGAAATTAAGCAACATGCTACTAAATAATTAGTGGATCAAAGAAGAAATCAAAAAGAAAACCAGAAAATGCTAATAAATTAAGATGAGGATAAAATTTATGGAATGAAGCTAACACAGTAAAACAGAGGGAAATATGTAGTAGCTATAAATGCTGATGTTAAAGAAGAAAGATTTGGGGGCTGGGGATTTAGCTCAGTGGTTCCGCCATCTACCTCGAAAGCGCAAGGACCCTAGTTTAATCCCCGGTACCAAAACAAAACAAAAGAAAGATTTCATATTGTTAATCTAACCTTCACTATAGAACACCAGAAAAAAGAATGAACTAAACACAAAAATAGAAGGAAGAAAATAATAAAGATTAGGGTTGAAATTAATGAAACACAATAGGGAAAAATAGAGAAAATATGAAACTAAAAGTTGATTTTTTGAAAAGATCAACCAGATTGGCAAACCTTAAGCAAAACCAAGAAAAACAGAACTCAAATTACTAAAATCAAAAATGAAACAGGGCTGCCCTAGGCTCCCACACTCACTCCGCCAGTCTGAGCACACCGTCGTATTTATAACAGGCTGCTCCCTGGTGCTCCTCATCTGTGTGCTGTTTGCCCAGTGCCTGCTTTTTACCCAAGATCTCTCTGTAAATGAAATAAAGTGTAATTTACTAAAAAAAAAAAAAAAAAGAAAAAGACAGCAGACATAACTACTGCCTTACAGAAATAACAGATGATACAACAATGCTATGAACAACTATATATTAATAAATTGGATAACTTAGATAAAATGAACAAATTCCAAGAAACAAAACTACTTAAAATAATTCGAGAAGGAATTTTTTAAAACCTAAATAAGCATATGCAGGAAATATAGAGATTCAGCAATTAAAAATAACAAAAATCTACTTACAGGGCCGGGGATTTAGCTCAGTGGTTTTGCCGCCTGCTGCGCAAGCACAAGGACCCGAGTTCGATCCCCGGTACCAAAAAAACCCAAAAAACAAAAAATCTACTCACAAAGCAAGTATCAGGCCCAGATGGCTTTATTGGTGAATTCTCCAAGATGTCTACAGAATTAATACCAATTTGTCACATACACTTCCAAAAGATAAAAGAGAAAGGCTACTTTCTACCTATTATCCTGCTTTCAAAATCAGACATCACAAGGAAACTACAGGCCAGTATCTCTTATGAACAAGGACACAAAAATCCTCAACCAAATCCAATGGCATATAAAAAGAATTCTGTACCTTGACCTAGTGGGATTTATTCAAGGCATGTGGGATTGATTAAACATCTGAAAATCAATTAGTGCAATAAGCCATATTAATAGAATGAAGGACAAAAAAATATGATTGTCTCAATAGATGCAAAAAAGCCTTTAACAAAATCCACCATGCTTTCAGGACAGGAAATATTGAACTAGGAATAGAAGGGAATACCACTACCTAATAACATCTTTTTAAAAACCATAGTTATAGTATGTAATGGTGAAATACTACTTTTCCCCTAAGACTCAGGAACAAGACTGGGATATCCACTATCAACATTTCAGCATTGTACTAGAGGTTCTAACCAGAACAGTTATGCAAGAAAATGGACTAAAAGGCATTTAGATTAGATAGGAAGAAGTAAAACTATCTCTGTTTTGCAGATGACATGATTACGTATATAAAAACCCCTGAGGATGCTGGGCATGATGGCACATGCCTGTTATTCCCAGCACTAAAGAGCCAGAGTCAGGACAGTCACAAGTTCAAGGCCAGCCGAGGCTACATAGTGAGTGAGACCTTACCTCAAAAACAAAACTGCCGGGGATTTAGCTCAGTGGCACCACGCCTGCCTGGCAAGCTCAAAGTCCTGACTCCGATCACTGGTACCAAACAAAACACAACTCTGAGGGGTCCACTAAAAAAAGATTCGAATTAATAAAAAGTTCAGCAGGCTTGGAGAATACAATATCAGTATACAAAAATCTGTCATTTTTATACACTTGGAATGAACAATCCAAAAATGAAATTAGGAAAATCTCATTTACAGTGGCATGCAAAAAAAAAAAAAAAAAAAAAAAATATATATATATATATATATATATATATATATATAAATAAGTTTCGCAAAAGTGTGAACTCTGAAAATTACAAACCATTGTTGAAAAATTGAGTAAGACCTAAATAAATGGGAAAACATTGAATGTTCATTGACTAGAAGATTTAATATTAAGATGGCTGCACTCTTTTACTAATCTATAGATTCAGCAAACCTTTATTAAAATGAAAATGGCTCCAAATGCCAAGATGATCCTAAAATACTTAGGAAAATTCAGGTGACTCAAAATAGTGAAAACATCTTGAAAAAGAACAGAGTTGGAGGGGCCGGGGATTTAGCTCAGTGGTTCTGCCGCCTGCCTCTCAAGCGAAAGGTCCCAAGTTTGATCCCTGGTACAAAAAAAAAAAAGAAAAACAAACAGTTGGAAAACTCACACTTGCCAGTTTAAAAACTGACTATAGGGTTGGGATTTAGCTCAGTGGCACCACACCTGACTCACAAGCACAAGGTCCTGAGTTTGATCTCTGGTACCAAAAAAAAAAAAGTTCTGAGGCCAGGGATTTAGCTCAGTAGCGCCATGCCTGCCTCAAAAGCACAAGATCCTGAATTCGATCCCCAGTACTGGAAAAAAAAAACAAACCAGCTATAAAGTCGCAGTACTTAAGACAGTGATGATCTGGCATAGACATGTAAATCTATAAAATAGAATTAAGAATCCAAAAATAAATCTTCACATTTTGACCAAATTATTTTGTTTTGCAAAAATGCCAAGAGAATTCAGTGGGAAACAATAGTCTTTTTTAGCAAATGGTGCTGGGAAAATTAGATATGCATGTGCAAAGAAGTAAGTTGAACTCCTATCTCATATAAAAACTAACTCAAATTGAATCAGCCCAGTGTAAAAGCAAAACCTATAAAAATCCTAAGAAAAGCATAATTTTTCCTGGCTTTGGATTCAGTAATGGTTTTTTAGAAGTGACATTGAAACCTAAGTAATAACAACAACAACAAAATTTGATCAAAATTGGAAAATTTGTGCAGGAGGTACTGTCAGGAACATGGAAAACAACCACAGAATGAGAGGGAATATTTTCAAATCATCTATCTGATAAGGGACTAGTATCCAGAATACATACAAAGAATTCTTTAAAGCCAACAGTGAAAGACAAAATCCACTTTTAAAATGGGTAAATAATCTGTATAGGTAGAGTTCTCCAAGGAAAACAACCAGTAAGCATAGGAAAAGATTTTAATATAGTCACCAGGAAATGTAAATCAAAACTACAAGGTACAAATTTATAAGCAATAGGATATCTCAAATCAAAAAGATAATTAACTGGTGTTGATAAGGATGTGGAGAATTTGGAACACTGTTGGTGGGAATGTCACCCCTACTTTTGAAAACAATCTGGCAGCTCCTTAGTTAAACATACAGTTAACATTTAACCCAGCATTTCCAGTTCTAGATTTTTTTTTGGTACCGGGTATTGAACTCGGGTCCTTGCACTTGCACAGCAGGTGACGAAACCACTGAGCTAAATCCCCAGCCCTTCCAGTTCTAGATAGGATTGAAAACATAATGTGCACACAACTTTTTGGATGTTTGCATCAGTATTATTTGTAATAACCAGATCCACCAACTGGCATGTAGGTAAAGAAAATATGGTGTATATCCATGCAGTGGAATGTTATTTGATCATAATAAGGAATGAAATACTAATGCATGGTATAAGGTGAATGAACTTCAAAATGATGCTAAGTGAAAGAAGCTTGTCACAAAATGTTACATTCTGATTCCATCTATATGAAATTTTCAGAATAAACAAATTCATAGGGTCAGAAAGTAAATTAGTGGTTGCCGGAGTCTGTGCAGGAAGGAGGAGTGGGTGGGAATGTTAATGGATATAGGATTTCTTTTTGAGGTGATGGTTGCACAACTCTTATGAATATGTTAAGAACCATTGAATTACACACTTTAAATGGGTGAATTGTTTAGTAGGTGAATTATATTTCAGTGAAGCTTTTGAGAAAATGTAACAATTTCAGAGCCGGGGTGGTGGTACATAACGATAATGCCACATTCAGGAAGTTAAAGCAGGAGGGTTACGAGTTTGAGGCTAACTGGGCTACATAGCAAGTTCAGAGCCAGCCTGAACTACTACCTATCTGTCTCAAAAAAATTTTTTTATAGCTTTTCACATGCCTATATGCAGATAATTTCATTGTAAAATCATATGTCTGCACTTGGCAGGGACCGGCCTGCCTGTGTTTATTTTGTTTTGTGAAAGAATAGATGAAAAGAAGATTAAACCTCTCACTGTGTCTCTCATTCTTCCATGTCTTAATTTTGAGAGTTATGCAGGTGTCCTGTAAATCATATATGCTAATTCCATGAAAAGACTGTCAGTGATGTATGCATCAAAATCAGCTGTAATGAAACTTAAATCTGTATAAATGTGGCTTTCTTTATATTGCTTTTCACAGTTAAATCCAATTATTTCAGTTATATATTTCAATTTCTATTTTTATCTATTAATTAAAAATTGTTTCAAATAGAGAAATAGGACTATCACTCTACACTTCTTTTCCTACTTCTGCTATCTAGCTCTGTGATTGTAAGCAAGTTTTTGAACCTCAACCTAAGTTGCTACAAAGTGGAGATAATCACTCAGCTGCCCAAAAGCAAGAAGCTGAACTCCTTGAGGCTCCTTTTGGTTTTGAGATTAATACTTTTGCCCCTTACTGCAGAAACTTCAGAAATTATCTTGGATTGTTTCCTTCTTACCCCAGCTCTATGTGTAATGGCCCTGTGTGCCATCTCATTAAAATAATGAACATCCTGCCATCCCGTTTCTTTGCTTGTTCCTTGGAGGGGAGAGTAAATCACTTGACCCAGAGAGTCTTCCAACTACCCAGACCCCATTCTTTGGAAACCTGATATCATCTGCTACCCAAAATACTCTCAGTAATTGGTTTAGTTTACTGCATCTGGTTTTCTTTTTTAAGCAAGGATATATAATTTTCTGAATTACTAAAACTGATAGAAATAAGTAATCTTAGTTCTTATTAGCTTGAATGGACAGTGATTTAAAGGATTTTAAAGGTAAATTTAAGTATTTTACAGTTTGAGTTACTTTTCTTTCTTCTTGCTTTTCACAGGTAGTGGTAATTCAGGATTTGAAGGACAGAGTCGTTATGTGCCATCTTCTGGAATGTCCGCCAAGGAACTCTGTGAAAATGATGACCTAGCAACCAGTTTGGTTCTTGATCCCTATTTAGGCTTTCAGACACACAAAATGAATACTAGGTAATTTTAAGTTTTTATCCTGAATGGAACAGATTTAACAAAACGGATGATTTGCTGAGTATAGCAGTACACATCTGTAATCTCAGCACTGTGGGAGGCTGAGGCAGGAGGATTAGAAGTTTGAGCCTAGCCTGTGAAGTTTAGTAATTTAGAAAGACCCTGCCTCAAAAAGTAAAATGTAGCTCGGTGTGAAGACCCCAGGTTCAGTTTGCAAGTACTGCAGAAAAAAGACAAAGGAAAATATATAATTAATTTTATTTTGTTTAAAAATTTAAATGACATAAAGGAAGGTTCTTTGCTACAGATGTATTTTCTCTGTGAGCCAAGAGAAGCAAACAAACCCTCTCAGAGTCTTCATCAGTTTTAAATCTGTTTTACCTCAGAATATTTCTGTTAAAATGTTAAGCTGAGGGCCGGGGGTTTAGCTTAGCAGTTCCGCCGCCTGCCTCGCAAGCCCAAGGACCCGAGTCCAATCCCTGGTACCAAAAAAAAAAAATGTTAATCTGGGGGAATAGCTTCATGTTTTGTTTTCAGTATTGATAATTATTTTAGTTAAAAGTAAAATTTTGCAGGCATCCTGTAAAACCTTGAAAATGCATTATTTTTTCTAATTTAAAAAAGGTCATCTTTTGCATGATTTTATTATTGACTTAAAAATAATTGCCACTGAATATAGGGAATTTTGGCTTCATGTATAATCTTTGCTATGCAACTAATTATAAATTAAAGGAATATTTTAAAGACATTTATAATCAGTATGCAGGTAAGAAAACATGTTTACTCAGTATCATTTGCTATATATATAAAATGATAATGCCCACTTAATCTCTCATCCTTTAACATTTAAATATTACCTCTCAGAAAAAGATCCCTACATTGTTTCTGCCACCATACGGGAAGTCATAGGTTTGCAACTTTTATCTTTTTTGCTTCTGTGGCAAAAGGTTTCGAGTCAGGTAGGGAGCGTGCCAACAGAGATTTAGAATGGAGAGCCAGTCTTGGCTAGGGTTAGGGTTCCGTCTTAGCCCATCACACACACTGGCAGTTTGTAGCCCAGTGCTTGTGACAACTCAGAAGGAGACTTCTAGGTGGATGGACGCTGACAGTTGGGGAGGTGAGAATTGTTGACTCCAGGTGACTGGAAGAAAAGTCTTTTGTCCCTTTTTCACCCTATTAATTTTTTCCTTGCTCAAATTAAAACCAGGTACACTATGCTTCACCTATCAATTCTAAGTCCAGAAAGGAGTAGTTCAGGTATTTTCATATAATTTCCTGTCATCATATATCTTTACTCAGTAAAATGAAGTGAAACATTGGAGTAGAGGTGAGAGATTATCTAAATAGTTTCCTGCTAGATTACTGGCAATTCTCTGGAAAATCAGTAAGATTGATGCCCTGGGCCGGGGATTTAGCTCAGTGGTTTCACCGCCTGCTGCGCAAGCGCAAGGACCTGAGTTCGATCACCGGTACCAAAAAAAAAGATTCATGCCCTGATGTCAAACTAAGATCTAGTTTACATTATTATTAAATTGCATTTCTTGTTTTTTTCCCCATTCAATGTAAGAGAGGAGTGGTCATTCTCTACCTCTTAAACCTAGAAGATCTTGATAGAATTTTAGCTTCCCATGAGTTAGAAATGTGAATATGTGAATCATATTTTGACACAAAAGTCTAGTAGCCTGTTGGTTACCACTGCAAAGACCCATCATATTGGCCTGGAGTCTTTGAGAAAGTTCTGTTGACTATGCCCCATAGACTGAGATAAAGAAACATATAAAAACATTTTAGAGGTCAGGGATTTAGCTCACTGGTTCCGGTGCCTCCCTCACAAGTGCAAGGTCTCGAGTTTGATCCCTGGTACCAAAAAAAATTTTTTTAGAAAATTATCCCATTAAAATTACAACACAAATTTTAGTGGTCTATGAAAGAACTTCTTGCTTCCTAAAACCCCTGTACTTTATTTCAGAGGATGAATGGTTGCCTGTTAATGGCTTCTGTAAGAAAAAAATCCTTCAGTTTTCTGTAAATGTCCTCTAGACCACTGTAGGTCACCCTTAGTTTACAAATGAGTCCCTCAGAATCTAATTAAAATGTGGATTGAATCAGTAGCTTGTGCACAGGTCCCGGGATTCAGCATTTCTAACAAGCTCCCATGCTGTATTTGAAATAATTAGTTCCTAACCAGTCTGGCCTGTGAGTTTCATTGTGATGTAATAAATGAGTTAAAAAGTTCTTATGTATAGTTTCTAAAGACTCAGTTCAAACAAGATAGTCATAAAATGTAAAGTTCAGAGGGGGTGGGGTATAGCTCAGTGATAGAGTGCTTACCTAGCATATGCAAGACCCTAGGGTTCAATGTCCACTGCATGAAATAATACATGAATAAAATGTAAAGTAAAGGATTACCACTCAAATATTAAAACTCAAGACCTTACTCTATCTGAGGACTCCTTAAGTTAAACTGAGTCCCGTTGTATAGGAATAGAAGCATCTAAAAGCAAAAATGGTTAAACAAGGTAAACCTACAGAAGACATTCATGTTTTTGAGTGCAACATTTAATTATACAGTTCCTTAAATAGCCTGTGATGGTGTAGCCAGCCCTGTTGTTCCCCAGATGGGGCAGGTTGGCTCTGCATCACCAGCGTGGTAGTACAGGTACCGTCTCTGCCTCCTTTCACTGGAGCTTTCAGTTCACAGGTGTTTTAGCAGAGTCCTGTCAGCTGGTGTTTAAGAACACAGACTTTTCTGTCTTCTTTTTGTGGTGCTGGAAGTCAAACCCAAGGCTCACACATGGCTGGCAAGTGCTCTACTCTAAATCCTCAGCCCCACAGAAATTTTATTAATAAATTTGTTTGCCTTGGTGAAAGGTACACATTTTCATTTCTTCTTAGTGGACTCACTTCAAAATAAAACTAGCTCTTCATCTTTTAAATTTAGCAACAATTTACTGGAATGTTGACTAAAACCATTTCAAAGGTATTATTTTATAGAAAATAAGGAAAATCAATATTGGAGTATAAAATACTTCTGCAATTATTAGTTTATAGACTTCTCAATCTTTAGGGTGCAAAAGAAGTGACTGGAAGATGTAAAAGATCTTGAATTTTAATTCTGCATGCTGTTAATTGTTAAATGGTTCTCTTTGTTCATGTTTATGCACCTGTAATTTGTCATTTTTTATTAGTTTCTCTTTTATATCCTTTTGCTTTCTTTCAGTGGACCTCCAGGAATAGTGTTTTAAAGCAGTAGATGTTTAATGATTTGACTGAGTGCTTATGTTCGAATTTTAATATATCCCTATATTTACCAACAAGTAAGAGTTATAGGATGCGTACTTAGTATAAACAAAATACTAAATTTAATAGGAAAAATTTGGAGTTAGTTGACTTTTGTCAGGTGTGCAATTCTTTTTAACGAGAAAATTCTTGATAATACCTCCGATTTAAAAAGGAGTGGGAAGCTGGATGTGGTGGCACATGCCTGTAATCCCTCCTGAGGCAGGAGAATCACCATGAGTTCAAGGCCACCCTGGACTACATAGTGAGTTTAAGGCCAGCGTGAACTAACTACATAGTGAGACCTTTTCTCAAAAAACATGAATGAAAACAAAAACATGAACAAAGAAATGAATGGAGTTTGGGGGCAAGATGTTGTAAAGACAGAATGGATGTTTTCATCCTTGTTTAGGCAATGAGACCCTGAGATTTGATGATACCTAAGTGCAGGAGAAACTCAGGCAGGCAGTAGGCTGAGGAGATAATGTTATAAAGCAACAGTCATCTCAGTACTTTTTCTAACTTTTCTAATCCAAATGTCAGCCTGTATAGTCCTTACTTACCTTCCACCATTGTAACTAATTTTTATTTTAGTTTTATATTTGTGGGATATGAATTTATAAATCACTTTAAAATTAGGTACTCTACTAGAATATGTAAAGAAAATTTTCAAACCTTCTGATTTAATATATGGGAAAAGAATACTAACCTGGCATTGTTATCCTTCTGAACCTACCTGTGGCTTCATGAAGTTCTTAAATATCAGTATTTTAGAGAGTTTTGTTACAATGAATATTGTAAGTCTGTTTAGAAATTAAAAATACAAATTGTACAAGTAGTTTTTTTATTGTTATTTGTTTTTGCATTTATATAGCGCCTTTCCTTCGAGGAGCTCAAGGCATTTTTCAAAATCTGACAGTTTTCCTCACAACAACCCTGTAAGGTAGGTAGAATGCGTTACAAACAGTAATAAGATACCAACTAACCTGTTCCAGCCTGTGTAATGTTCTTTAATGTTAATTTGAGGTGTCAGCAGAAACATGAATTTTAACAAACCCTTTAAAATAGTTTGGTCTTATTTATATTTAAAACAAAGACAAAATTTGTACTTCATAACAGGATAATTTTAAAAGAAACAAATCTTTCATCAAAAGATCAGAAGTCATTGTATGGATTAGTTAAGCACTGACTGCAAGACTCAGCCAGTTATGGTTTTGGTTGTTGTTTATTTTCAGGTCAAGAAGAAATGGAGAGCTCTGGTTCTATGATTTCTCAGAGAATCTACAAATTCATTTTGCAGTGAAACTTCATTCAGAGCGGGAAATGTGTTTACTGTGTTTCCATTCTTACTTTATATCTTAAATATTTGAGCATTGTCTTTTTCTTTCTCTCTCCTTCCCTTTCTTCCTTTTTTCTATTGCTTTTCCTTTTCCCCTGCCCCCTGTAGTCAACTCTTGATCATACATACTAATGGAAGGGCACAATAGTCAGGTAATACAAATCATCAACTTTTCTTCATTGCCACAGTAGTCTCTTGGGTGTGGAGACAGAAAAACCAAATAGCAAGAAAACCTGGGAAGTCATTCTCTGGAGAGAAAGGGGAGAAGGTGTGTGGGAATATGAATTCGGATGTTTTTTCCTGCTCCTTTTAGTGAAAGCTGATTGTAAATTACTTAGTTTTTATTTCTCATACCAGCCATTGATCAGAGGCATGGGAAGAGAAAAATGTTTGACTTATTTAAAGTAGCAGATCTTGTGTTAATGGAGGGCAGGGTAGGGCATATTGTTTTAGAAATGCCAAAAGCCTTTTCTTTTGCCACCCAGCATTGCACCCCAATACTAAATTTAAAAATCTAGAACCTTAGATCTCAAGCCCACATACTCAGGTCAGGGTGGTGGCACATGCCTTAATCCTAGCCACTCAAGAGGGTGAGGGGAAGGATCATAAGTTCAAGGGCAGGCTGGGCAACTTAGCAAGACCCTGTCTCAAAATTTAAGAAAAAGATGTACTAAACATGCTATGCATCAGGCTGGCCATTAGTGAAGAGACAAATACAACCAACTTTGTGAAATTGTACTGCAAGTCCTTTGGGCAGACTCTGTTTTGAATCAATCTGTAAATTGTTCAGTTGGCACACCGATGGCTGATTGATTTTTGAGACATGATTTTTTATTTTGGTGCTGGGGATCAAACTCGAGTCCTTGAGTTTGCGCAGCAGGCGGCGAAACCACTAAACTAAATCCCCAGCCTGAGACATGCTTTAATTTTGTATTAACATGTTAATGTATAGTTCCAGAAAAGAGAACTTTTTATTAAATGGCTACTTGTTGGGGCCAGACCTACAAAAAAATTTTTTTTTACAGTAAAAGGGCTGGGAGATAGCTTGGTGCAAGATCCTGGGTTCAATCCCCAGTTTTAAAAAAAATTCATCACTTTCACTCTCAGTGTATAAGCCAGAGCTGTTTCTCACTGGGCTCAATGCTGGTCCTCAGTGGCAAACAAGTCAAAATTTTTTCTAAGCATGAAGTAACACAGAGGTCTCTCTTAGGGCAGGGAGTAGAGCAGACAGCAAAAGCCTGAGTAAAAAGTCCCACCTCTTAAATCATCATAAATTGTATCATGTCTTAAATTATCATAAATTATCACTAAGTCCTTGGCCAACTAATTATCCTTGTTGGGCCTTATTTTCCTTATTTGTAGACTGAAAGGATTGTTCCAGATAATCTGTAAATTTTTAAGTATCATAAAGTAGCTTTATGGCATTTGTATGGAAGATTTAGAATGATGATGTTGAGAGCAGAGAGCATTTTTCTATTTAATAATGGAAAATTATTTTCTTCTAAGATACTCAGTGGCTTTTGCTCTGGCCCTGGTAACTGTAACAGTCTTACATTATTAAAATAATTTTTTTTGTTGTTACCGGGGATTGAACTCGGGTCCTTGGACTTGTGCAACAGGCGGCAAAACCGAGCTAAATCCCCAGCCTCCAAAATAATTTTTATTTCTCACAATATTTGTTGTAAATAGGATTTGATGTCTACTGTTAACTCAGTGATTTTTATATATGTTTATAGGAAAATTGAAAACAAGGGTCTATACCCATAACCATGTTCTTCCTTCTTTCCTCACTATCATTTCATAACTATAGCAACCAGCTGTGATAATAGGTGTTAGCATTTTGGGGACAAAAGAAATTACATTGTAAGTGAAATAGAGTGAGTAGCAGACTAAGTCTAAGCAGTAAAACTAAACCTGGTAGTAGACTTACTAGTAAGTAGCAGGGGATAGTTTCATGAATTTAGTTTGTGTTTGAAGCAGAACAAGTCAGGAAAGTAGAAACAGAAGCTCAGGTAAGGCAGAATACTACTAGTTATTATTTATTATTTTGTTGTTTTAGCATTTAAGTTATTTGGCATCATGAACAAAGAGTAAACTAAGGATACCTGAGAAGTGTTTTTAGATAGGAAGAAATGTGTTTCAAAAAGCATAGAATACACATAAAGCCTATTAAAAATATCCAACATCCATTCCAGATCAGTAGCTTATTTTTCTGAAATGCTCTTAAGACCTTTTAGGTGATTTTAGCCTTGACTCGCTTTATTGAGAAATATAACTTTAGATTTGGGCATTTTGTTTATTTGTTTTGTTTTATTTTGTTTTTATCCTGTGCTGGGACTTAAACCCAGAGCCTGCACACATGCTACACAAGTCCTCTACCATTGCACTATGTCCCCAGTGCCATATTATTTTTCAGTAGATCATCACCATTGGTCAGTTCCACATCAAACATCTAAAGATAGCTTGGCTCCTCTGTCTTTTGTAGTCCTGCCACATAACATTGTGGATAATTTATTGCATCTACTCCAAGTGATCTATGATTTTCTGATTACTGTGCAAGACAGCTTATCTGTGTTCTACCATTTCATATTTTGTATCACTTGAAGTCCTATGTCTTAGCTAACAACTGCTTTCTTTTGGCTTATCCCTTCTTCATATGTAAATAACCATGTAGTGTAAGGTTGAGGACTACTTGGTTAAAAATGGAAAATAAATGCACTGTGCATTTCCTTGTGTACCTTTAGGATGAGTTTGAACTCTTAGATAGTTCTCTTCATAGTTGTGAGAATCCGGGGTTACTGAAACTAGTGTCTATAACTAGTTAAGTTTCTAGTGGTATCAGTATATGTTAATACATCTAAAATTTTATAGAAATCCTATCCAATAAACAGTATTATACCTGCTCTGTAACTTCATTTCTTCCCTCTTCCTGGTTTTAGTACTTTCCTTTACTGTTGCTAACCGTCTATCCCTGGTCAACTGTTTGAATGAAGACTTATTAAGATCCTTTGCTTAGACTTCCTCTCACTCTGCCTTCCCTTTAATTCTTTCCTGCATGTAATATGCTTTTTTAGAAAGCTAAATTCACTACCTTCATCACTCATTTCAAGGTCAACTTCAAAACTCTTTCCAAACAATTCTTATACCTTAGGAATAGTTCCCACACTTTTTTAAAGTTTTTACCATATTAATACATATTTGCAGGTTGATGCCTTGCCCAAATACTTGATACATATGTATCTCTTATTCCCAGTTAAATTTTCCATTCAAGAGCAGTGTTCATGTCTTCTTACTGTGGTATTTCTCAACATAGTATTTGTTCTGCTGCTGTATATAAAACACCTAATAAAAAAATCCTCTGAAATATTATAGCTTAAAATCCTACTGAAATGTTTGTGAATACATTTGTGATTCAGAAAGAACTCTGTTGAGTGCTTCCTTTGCTGGAGCTTGTGCTAGACCTCATCCCAGTTGTAAGATTTTCAGGCTCATGAAGTATGCATTTTTAAATGTTAAAGTGCGTAGTTGCAGTATTTTTTTTTCCTGAGCTGGTAATATTTTTTCTTTATTTTACTTGAACAGCAATCTGTAATTCCTTTTTCTGTTGCATGCTTTGTTTTTTAAAATAAAACCCATATTTCAGAAAATTAGCTGGACATGGTGGCACACACCTGTAATCCCAGCACTTGGAAGGCTGAGGCAGGAGGATTGCTGTCCTGGGCTGCATAATGAGTTCAAGTGTAGCTTGAATGACAAAGCAAGACCCTATCTTAAACAGAAAATTAGACAAATTGGTATGTGAAGAAATTTTGAAATTGAGGTCTGAATATTGCCAATGGCATATGCCCACAATTCCAGCACTCTGGGAGGCTGAAGCAGGAGGATCACAAGTTTGAGCCCAGCATGGGCAACTTAGCAAGACCCTGTCTCAAAAATTTAAAAAAAGAAGAAGAAAAAAAAAGGTGCCAAGTATGGTGGCACACATCTGTAATCCCAGCTTGAGAGGCTAAGGCAGAAGGATTGCCATAAGTTCAAGGCCAGCCTGCGCTATGTAGCAAGTTCAAGGCCAGGCTGAACTATATAGCCAGACCTTGTCTCAAAAAAGAGGGTAGAAGAGCTAGGATGAAACTTAGCATGAAGGCCCTGGGTTCAATCCCCAGTACTGAGGGGAAAAAAATCTTCAATCACAGTACACATTTTGAGAGCACAGCTTTATATCAAAGGGCTCATGAATTTAAATCTCATTTGGACCATGATTATATCATGCGTTGACACATGCCTTAGTAGTATAATATTCTCAAGTCATGACTGATTTTATATCAGAAGGCTTTTTAAATGTTACTGTGACAGTTTTTAATGTTACAGCAATTTCACTGGCAGAGTTAACTTTTTGCATCCTCTTCCTGTGAATGCATGTGTTAAGCACCTGTTCAATGTGGGTGATTATAACAAGATGTATGTGAAAACTGGTTGGGGGTTTTCTGTGTACATAGTTGCTTTTGTTTATAGCATGATTTTGTTTGCTTCACTATACTTCCACAATGCATTCCTTGCACTCTTCCAGATTGATTCTGCATGTTTTTAAAAATTCTTGTCGTTCTAACTTTCAATTAGACATGCTTTATTCTAGATCTTTTAATTTTGTGCCCTCCCAAATAGATGACTAGTTCAAGCCTGAAGCAGACAGCTTTTGTTTGAATCATCTAGTCACCTCACAGTTAAATGAGATAACAGTGAAATAAAAATACTAAACTATAGTTTGAAGAAAAAAATTATTTTTCCAGGGGCCGGGGATTTAGCTCAGTGGTGCCAGCACCTACCTCGCAAAGGCAAGGTCCTGAGTTTGATCCCTGGTACCAAAAAAAAAAAAATGTTTTTCCCAGGTCATTCACATTGTAATTGAATAGTAATTGACAAGATTATTGATTGTTTTCTTTTGTTAGATCTTTGTTGAGGTAACTATGGCTGTTTTTAGTATATAATCTCTTTTTCAAGATCTTTACAGTAAATCAGTGCCCAAGAATTATGGTAGATAACTAAACTTTGAGTTTTGATTTCTTTCAGATTTCGGCCTATTAAAGGGAGGCAAGAAGAACTAAAGGAAGTAATTGAACGTTTTAAAAAAGATGAACACTTGGAGAAAGCCTTTAAATGTTTGACTTCAGGTGAATGGGCACGGCACTATTTTCTCAACAAGAACAAAATGCAGGAGAAATTATTCAAGGAACATGTAAGTTTATAAAGATTAATACTGTTCCAGTTTGCATAAGATTATACAATAAACTAAAGCCTGGATATTAGTGAACACGTAAATTTTAGTCCATTTTTCATAAACTAGTGAACATGAAGATTTTGGAACATAAGAGATTGTTTGGATGACTAAGAGAAAACTGTCAGCTGGACGTGGTGGTGCATGCTTGAAATTCCAGCACTCTGGAAGCTGAGGCAGGAGGACTGGTACAACTTCAAGGCCAGCCTGGGCTACATAGTGAGTTCAGACCAGCCTGAACTGCATAGTGAGACCCTGTCTCAAAAAAAATTAAAGCAAAAGATTTTTAGAGAAATAGATAAGCCTTTAGGTACTCAAATATGACAGTAACAACAAAGTTTGTCATTTAATGATCTTATATTTCTTATGGTATTGCTGGTGGTGTGCTTTTACAATGCTGAGACATTCTAGCAGGATAAACAATTTACAGTCATTATTTTTTTCTACTGTTTTAGGTATTTATTTACTTGCGAATGTTTGCAACTGACAGTGGATTTGAAATATTGCCTTGTAATAGATACTCATCAGAACAAAATGGAGCCAAAATAGTTGCAACAAAAGAGTGGTAATTATTATACTAGTCTAAACCCATAAAGTAATTTTATTTAAAGATTGGTTAAGTTAGTCTTGAAAGGCTAAGAAATTTGTGGTAAAGATTAAAGCCAGCATTTACCCTGAAGGACCCAGCATGGTGTCATTGCTGTGGCACATTGGCTGAAGTTTGAACGAACCAGGTCCCATCTGTGGACCAAAGTGCTTTTCATTTTACTAATACTGAGCCTACTTGGTGCTTAGGCTGCTGGAAGGTTGGAGATGCCAGAATTGATGACCTGGCTTCCAGAGTCAGTATTTTACTGTCCTAGAGAGGTTAGGGGTAAAGTCATAAGGGCTTTAGGTCATTTATGGGTAGAAACACCCTAATATGTAACCTGCTTCAAAAATATACCTGTGCCAGTCTGCATAAAAGTAGTAGAGTTGAGGGCCCGGGATTTAGCTCAGTGGTTCCACCACCTGCCTCGCAAGTGGAAGGACCCGGGTTCGATCCCCCGTTACCAAAAAACAAAACAAAACAACAAAAAAGTAGTAGAGTTGAGCCTACTAAAAGTTAAAAGCCATAGATGAAAGACAGCATATGTGACTGTGTCTTTCCTATAATGCCTGTTCCTTACCTCCTTCCAGAAGAAACTTGCAGCCTCTCTCATAATTCTTCAACTTAACTTTGCTTTGTTTTCCTTGGCTTTGATTTTTTTTGTTGTTTTAATACTGAGGATTGATCAAACCCAGGGCCTCATGCATGGTAAGCAACCACTGTACCACTAAGCTACATCTCCAGCCTTTTAAAATTTATTTTAAGGAAGGATCTCACTGAGTTGCCCAGGCTGGCCTTAAACTTGTATATTTCCTTCCTCAGTCTCCCGAGTGGCTGGAATTATAGGCATGCACCACCACACCAGGCTGAGTATGTGAGTTTAAGGTCTAGTGTTCTAGAGCTGCACTATGCAATATAGTAGCCACCTGCTACACTGAGTCCTTGAAATGTGGCCAATATGAAATAAATGCTGTCCTATATACACACAAGATTTCAAATTGCATTGTTTCTCATTAATAGTTCTCATATTGATTACCTGTTGAAATAGTAGTATTTTGGATATATTGGATTAAAAGATACTACTTAAAAATAATTTCATCAGAGCATGGTGGCACATGCCTATAATCTCAGCACTGGAGAGGCTAAGGCAAGAGGATCACTAAGAGTTTGTGGCCAGCCTGAACTACATAGTGAAAATGAATAAACAAACAAAAAATATTTTTACTTTCTCAAAGTAGTTACTAGAAAACTTAAGATTTCAATTTGAGCCAGGTACAGCGGCACACATTTGTTATCCCAGAAGCTCAGGAGGCTGAGACAGGAGGATTGAAAGTTTGAGCCCAGCCTGAGACTCTTAATTCAAAATAAAATTGGCCGGGAGGGGCCTGGGAATATAGTTCAGTGATAGAGCACTTGTACAGCATGGGTTCGATTTTCAGTACCAGAAAAAAAAAAAGAGATTGCAAGTTGGTCTTGCATCACACTCCCGGTAAATGGTTACTTTAGCTGGTGACACCACAGTTCTGGGTCCTCATGATCCTTAAATGCTCCTAGTCCCTGTCTGCTTCAGTTAGTGGTCAGTAAGTTTAATGTAGTGCAGGAGCTATTTGAGCACTTCCCACCTGTGAAAAACTAGGCTAGTTGCCACAGGTGATTCAGAGACACAGGTTCCTAGTTTCTGTCCTGGAGGAGCTTTCATTCTCTTATAGAGGTAAAGTAAATAACAGGTAGTGATGGTACCAGGCTATGGGGCTCCAAGAAGGAAAGGGAGACACCCAGGTGGGATCCAAGTGTACACAGGTAGGGCTTCTCAATTTCTGTCATTGAGCAGGCTTATTTTATTATTAAAAAGAAGCCTTATTTTATAATTTCCAGTAATTTTAACACATCACATATTTTAAATAGGAAACGAAATGACAAAATAGAATTACTGGTGGGTTGTATTGCTGAGCTTTCGGAAATTGAGGAGAACATGCTACTTAGACATGGAGAAAACGACTTCAGTGTCATGTATTCCACAAGGAAAAACTGTGCACAACTCTGGCTCGGTCCTGCTGCATTTATAAATCATGGTAAGCTACATTTCTAAGGTGACTGCGCTGGTGTTGAGCAGTTCTACCAACAGTTAGTATAGCCTTATCAGAGTAGTAAAATGTTTTTCTTTAAAGATTTTGAAATAGGAATTTTTCCCCCCACAAATTTATTACAATATTCCTAGTTGAACTTAAGATCTTAAGTTCCATCAGAAGTTGTGAGGTTGTCTGAAACACTTTTTCAGAGTTTTGTAACTGCTCATGTTTCAAATTATCAACAATTAATTGTCTTTCTTTTTTGGACATTTTTCAGATTGCAGACCCAACTGCAAGGTAAGCATTAAAAAAAAATTCCCAACTATTTTGTTTCTCCCTCAGCTGTCAGACTCTTAATGAGTTACTTTACTTTCAGTTTGTGTCAACTGGTCGAGATACAGCATGTGTGAAGGCTCTAAGAGATATTGAACCTGGAGAAGAAATTTCTTGTTATTACGGAGATGGATTTTTTGGCGAAAATAATGAGTTCTGCGAGTGTTATACTTGTGAAAGGTAAGACACTAAGATTTTTTTCAGCTTAAACATTTTTTTAACACCTGATGGTTATGGATATTAACTCACATTATCTCTCTGTCATTTACATGCAGAGATAGTTTTTTATGTTCTGTAGCACAGCTCCCAGTGCAATGTATATAAACAAAATCAAATGGTATACAACTATTTTAGAGACACTGGCACTTTCCCATTATAAAATCTTAATATTACCAACAGTTGTGAGTGGATCAGAATAAAAAAGTGCTAGGAGAGTATGGATAATAAATAGTTCATGTACATACATATGTGTGCATACACACAAATGCCACAGTAGGGCTGCCCCTGAAATGGCAAGTAAAGTTCCTCTCTGATAGTCATGTAAAAACCCTGAAATTTTTTTGCATATCATTAAGCTGTTTCTTCTGAAATTTGTATTTCAGTGTACATACTCGGGACAGTTTCTAAGTCCCTTGTTGGCACTCAGCAAGGAACCTCTTTGTTACACATCTAGATTCTGGGTGGGTCCTGGGCTAGAGATGTGGCTGGCAAAGTATCAGTTCTCACCACTCATTGGAGTGACTTCTATGAACACAAGTTCCTTGGAGGAAGTCACACAAGCTAGTGCAAACCAGGGCTACAGGAAGGCTGCTCTGACAATGGCAAGGTGGTGCAGATGTCACTGGCCACACGGAGAACAAGCCTGTCTTAGTTGAGCCCATTTTGCTATGTTGTACTGTGCTGGGCCCTTGACCCAGGTGGCTTCACTTCACTTCCTCATTCTTTTTGTGTTGTGTGTGCATGTGGGGTGTGTGTTTTGCTGAGGATTTAACCCAGATACTCCACACCTCACACATGCTAGGAAAATACTCTACTGCTCAGGTATATCCCAAGCCTTTTTAATTTTGAGACAGGATTTCACTAAATTGTCCAGGCTAACCTCAAACTTGTGATCTTCTTGTCTCAGCCTTTCAAGTAGCTAGAATTGCAGGCGTGCCCCACCATGCCCAGCCTTCCTCTTGCTTTTATAGAGCACATTTAAATGAGCACATTTATCATTTAAAGCTTCTATTTCTGCTTTAAAAAGCTAGCTTAGGAGAGAGATAGGCAGATTCCCCAGGTACCATTTGCCTTCTTTCTAGGTAGTTAGGGATCTACAGTAGTAGATAGTAGTAGCTGTAGTGAGAGAGGGCAAGGCCAGGCCATAGTGTTACCCTTGCTGGTTCTTTGCCAGTCTTTGCCATCCAGGGATGGCAGAATATGCTCTCCTGGTGCTGCTGTTTTGCCAAGGTAGGGGAGGGGTATAAAGTTTATCTTTTTCTATATAAAAAATGATTCAGGTTTTGGTTAGATCTCTAGACCAGTCCACAAAAAGGCCCTTTAATCCATTAAGTCGTAATTATACTTCAGTAAAGCTTTAGAATCATTTTATAGAGAAAACAGTGAAAAAGTTAAGTGCCGATAATCTGGAGTCAGACTACCAATGTAAGAATCCCACAGCTCTGTATTTCATTAGCTAGATGATAGTTGGCAAGTTACATAGCTACTTGTGCCTTTATTTCCTCATTTGTAAAATGGGTAACATTTCATAGGTTTGTTGTGGAGATTAAATTTATTTCACATAAAGCACATCAAGCAGCACATAGCTAACACACAAATGTTAGCTATAAAATTATTTTGTGGTTTCTGGTTATGTTCTCCTTAGAATAAGCTTCCTAACGGCAGAGACTTTGACCTTTTTCATCTATTTCTAAATCCCCAGCATATAGAACTGTAGCTGGCACACAAAAGATGTTTAATATATATTTGGTGAGTGAATGAACATAGTAAATAAATACAATGAATAAGTTTTTTGAAACTGTCCTGAAAAACTAACATATTCAGGATTTTAAACCAACATAGAAATAGCATATTAAGGTCCTGTGTAAAAGGAATGGCATACCACAAAACAATAGATGTGGCTGTCAGACTATTGGAGCAGTTTGGTTGAAAAATTGGCTGCATATTTTCAAATTTTTTTGTCTTTATACATAATAGTAGCTGAGAAGATAAGACTAGTAAAAAGAGCTCATTCAGTTATTCATCAGATATTAACCGAAAAGTTACTTTGTATAGACCCACTAGTGCAGGATAAACAAGACCATCACAGGCCAGGGATTTAGCTCCGTGGTTCTGCCACCAGCCTCGCAAGCACAAGGTTCCAAGTTTGATCCCCGGTACCAAAAAAAAAAAAAGACCATCACAATGCCAGCTGTCAGAAAGGGACAAGGACACATAGAGTGGTTTTTTGTTGTTGCTGTTTTTGTTTTGTTTTGAGACAAGGTCTTGCTGTGTCGTTCAGACTGACTTTAAACTCATTATGTAGCCCAGGCTGACCTCTAACTCATGGGAATCCTCCTGTGTGAGCCTTTTGAGTGCTAGGATTACAGGCCTGCGCCACCATCTCCAGCCACATACACAGTGTTTTGAGAGCTGAAAGGTGAAAAGAGCTCTGAGGAAAGAGAGTGAATAGTGTGAATGAGATCCCAAGGCCTGTGGGTATAGTGTCCAGGCAACACTGGAAACCTGTTTCTGGGTGATAACTATACCAGTATATGTTCCTAAGTAAGTATTGCACATTTCACTCTTAATTTGAAGAATGAAATCTAATGACGGTCCACAAAAATAAGATGTAAATAAAAATATGATTTTAGCAGTAGAACTTTAAATCATAAAAATATTACTTCTCTAATACATAAATTATTTGGGACTTAAGGATTTTATTTTTCGAATGGTCAGGTTAGTTGGTCATGGTAGGATATACATGCACTTACTCTGGAAGGCAGAGGCAAGAGAATTACATGTTTGAGCCCAGCGTAGGCAACTTAGTGAGACCCTGTCTCAAAATGAGAATAAAATGGGCTGAGGAGTACCTTAGTGTGAAGGCCCTGGTTCAGTCCCCAGTACTATTTTAAGAATTATAAAACTACATCTTTTTTTGGGGGGGGGGTTGGTACTGGGGATCAAACTCGGGACCTTGCACTTGTGAGGCAAACGCCGGAACCACTGAGCTAAATCCCCGGCCCGAAACTACATCTTTTGATAGCCAAGAAAAAAATTTTAAAGACTGTTAGGAGAGACTTTTCCTTTATAGATATTAAAACTTAAAACTTGATGATTTTGGTGCAGAAGTAGACAAAGATGAGCAAACATGAATAGAATCCTGAAATAGAGGCAAGAGTATATGAGACCTTAATACATATTATTAGGAAACAATTTCTTTAATGAATGAGTTGTTATAACTCATTATGCTCCTGGGGGAAAAAAATTGGACACTCATATAACATCATATACAAAATAAAGTCCTTTTAGATTAAACATCTAAAATATATAGAACTACTAGAAAAAAATTTAGGAGAACATATGTCTAATCATGGCATAATGAAGATCTCAAGGGTATAAGACAAGAAGTGGTGAATCTGAAAATATTTGAGAGGTCAAAGGTAAATGAAAATAAAAGAAAGAAAATAAAAGTACACATATGGCGGAGAATTTATAATCTAGTAACAAGAAGCTCCTGTAAACTCAGAGTGAAGAGACAAAGATAGAAAAAAGGTAAAGGAGGAAGAGATGTGTCACAGAAAAAACATCCGTTAACAAAGAAATTAAGACAAAATTAAGTACAATACTTATTTTCACTCATTCGGAAAATATAAGCACAGTATGTTGCTGGTGAGATTGTGAAAAAACAGGCACCCCCTACCTTTCTAGTAGAGCCATGAATTACTATAACCCTTAGGGAAAGTAACCTGGCAGTATTTATTAAAAATAAGCATATACTTTTCTTTGCCAGTTCCACATGGAAGAGGAAATTTTTCCTATAGAAATAAAGCACCAGTAAATAAGGATTTGGATTTCAGAGCAGCTTAACAGAAGTGTTTGTGCAAAAAAATTTTTAACACAGGTTTCAGTAATCACCAATGAAGAGTGATTGAATAAATAATGCCATGTTTGTTCTGTGGAAATACGCACCTTTCAAAACATGTATTCAGTGCAGATTTGTCCATGATGTAATAAGAAAACTACTTGCTGCGTAAATGTTTAATATTGTTACATTTTGGTTTTCTTTGCTTGAAAAGAAACGGTGATGCAAATAGTTGTGTAGACCATGGAAAAGGAGTGGAAGAAGGCATTGTTAGCAGGTGCTTGGCACTGGGTGCTTATGGCTCTGACAGTGGGGACAATTGGGAAATACTGTTAACTTTTCCTTTGTGGATAATGTATCTCCTAGGATTTTCTCTCATATTACAGCAAACATGAGCAAATATTAACTGTCATAAATTTAAAAAGAGCAGAGTGTAGAAGCACATGCCTGTAATCCCCAGCACTCGGACTGAGGCAAGAAGATCACAAGTTTGAGGTGAACCTGGGCTACCTAGTAAGTTGAAGGCTGATCTGGGCTACATAGCAAAACCTTTTCTCAAAAAAGGAAAGAAAGAAAAAGAATGAAATGGAAGAGTTTTACTTTAAAGATTCTAATTTCTGAAAATTCCAACACAACTACTGTACTCCTCTTGAAACCAAATCTTTACTAACTGGTGCTCTTATTTCTGTAGGGTAGATTTCTCCTCCACATGGGACTGCCAGGGAAAAGGGTATGCTTATTTTTAATAAATACTGCCAGATTGCTTTCTGTTAGGGTTATACCAGTTCATGGCCTTACTAGCATTTGTGTTTAAGGGCACTTTAAATATGGTCTGTCTTTGCAGAAATATTACAGTTTGTTTAAAAAAGATTAAAAAACACGAGGATTTCAAGATAATTTCTTTCTTAATCACTGTGGAATGAGATAGCCTTTGGGATTTACACAATTGTGTTCAAATGTATGTTAGAGTAGAGTGGACTCTATCTAATTGCTGGCCCTGGTGAAAATTAAGGGTTCTTTATTACACTGTTGAAAAAAGAACTAAAACAGTCTCTCAAATATTTTTTATGTTTTACAATAACTCTATAATCAAAATAGAATTTTAAATTTAGGAAAGTGGAAAAGACAGTGTTAATCTTTATGTAGCAAAAGTAATTAGATTTAAATCTGTACTGCTTAGCTTTTAAAAATAAGGGGGTAGTTTGGGCCAGGGATTTAGCTCAGTGGTGCTGTGCCTGCCTTGCAAGAGCAAGGTCCTAAGTTCGATCCCCGGTACCAAAAAAAATAAATAAGGGGGTAGGTAAAGAAAGAATATTTATGTTGTCTTTGGCGTAATGTAAAACACAGTAATTCCTTGAGAAAGAAAAGTTACTTCTCCATCATCCAAAATTCTGAAAGAAATAAATCATGTCGCACTTGCAGAAGGTGATAGTGCTTTCACAATGGAGGTCATCTACAATTTTGCCACATGTTTGGAAGCTGTATTATATGACTTTCTGTTAAAAAGCTAAGGCCAAGGCCAGGGATTTACCTCAGTGGTTCCGCCACCTGCCTCGCAAGCACAAGGACCTGAGTTCGATCCCCAGTACCAAAAAAAAAAAGCTCATTAAAGCAAAGATTATCAAAGTTAGATTCATCAGAGAAATTTAAGAAAATTTACTTTAGAATGTATATAGTTAAGGCAAGGTATAAGTCATTCTTACCTGGTATAAAAGCAAATCTTTAAAATATTTTTTATTCAGTAACACTTTTTTATGAACATTCATGTTTATTTCAGAATTTAAAGAAATTATTTAACAGTTTTTATTTTTCCAGGAGACAGATTTTTACTAATAATAGTATCACCTTTTACATAGAATTTCAGTTATAATTTGTTTGTTTCTAGCATTAAGCTCTAGGTAATGACTTAATTTGCGCAAATTCTATGCTTTTAAAAAATTCCTTCTTTGGGGGTGCGGGGGGTACCAGGGCCCAAACTCGGGTTGTTGCGTTTGCTAGGCAGGTGGCAGAACCACTGAGCTAAATCCCCAGCCCAAAAAATTCCTACTTAATATTCATTAATATAGTGTTAAATTGTACAGAACAAAGCAGAAAAGTAATTAACGTGGGTTTTTTAAGATTATAGTTTAGACCTAACTATTGTGCCAGTAATTTTTTTTAAGTTGAAGATTTTGTTACTTATTATTATCTACACATGAAATTCCAGTTTTTCATAGGCAAAGTTATTTTTATCAGATACATTCTTGATTTCTTTTGAGAATTCTAGACGTGGCGGTGATAATTGAGGCCTCATCACCATTAACTTGAAGTGGCTGAGTCCACTTTTATTGTGAGTAAATGCACATACTCCATTTGTTTAACCTGTGGTGTTTTCTCTTTCAGACGGGGAACTGGTGCTTTTAAATCCAGAGTAGGACTGCCTGCGCCTGCTCCTGTTATCAATAGCAAATATGGACTCAGAGAAACAGATAAACGCTTAAATAGGCTTAAAAAGTTAGGTGACAGCAGCAAAAATTCAGACAGTCAGTCTGTCAGCTCTAACACTGATGCAGATACCACTCAGGAAAAAAACAATGCAAGTAAGTAAGGGAGATTTGATAAGATACTTTTTAAAAAGTATTTTCACACAATTTGCTTTCTAAAGCATGCTTCAGTACTTGTGAACTTCTAAATATTGAGAGAAACTGGGACTTACACAAGGTTCTAGAAATGCTTTGAGTACAGAGCACAGTGTGTATTTCACCTTCACATTCAATGCCATACTTTAGACTTCCTTTTTTAATACTTGGTAACTGGAATTGAATTCTTCATCATATATTCCACAGTCATATGTTAGAGAAAAGCGTTTTTAAGGTGTTAGTGACACTTGTAATGGTGTCAGCAGGCCCTGCCAGAAGACAGGAAACTAGGTAGAATTACACAGGCTCATATATGTCCAGTGTCTAGCCAGTCTGCTAGAAATAGATGATGGATTTAGGAGTTCATAGCTTCTGGCTTCAAGTCTTCTACCTTTTTATTGTTTGTTTACATTTTTAAAAATGAACTGACCCAATTCACCAAACCACCAGTTCATAGACTCAGAATTCTGCTAGAGAAGCATTTGAATATGTGGCTGTGTTACGGCATATTGTATTAACCACTACAGAAAGTAGCAAGAAAGATGAGAACGAAGCAAGTTTTGAGATACCAATGTGGAGGGGCTAGTGGGGGAGGGCAAGATCTAATGGAAACTGGAAAAAGAAAATGAAGAATAAAGAGAAAAGGAAGAGAAGAAAACCTAAGCGGGCAAAGAACAGCACATCATGTTTATGGAGCTTTGAAGTACTGAAACTTCTGATGCTACGGTCGTTCATCTGGGTAACACCAGGGCTGTCTAGGTGCCACTACAGCAGCAGGCTCTCCTATCTGACTTGTCTCTGACAGAGACAGTGTTAGAAAGGTTTAAATTGGTGGTCCCCAAAGTCTGTCTAGGCTGGCACTCTAATGTCGGTGAGACTTCTGAGGTGCTGGTTATTTCAGGCTCTCTTCCTGCCTTCATATGTTTTCAGCCCAGTATTGGGTGTTCCCTTCCCCTACAGAAAATCCTGAAGAAGGGTATCTCACATGATGGTGAATGTTACTGCTGTGGATTCCTGAATTTACCTGCTACTGGGAGTCAGAGGCCACATGTAACCTCTGTAGTATAAAAGTAATAGTATAGTTCTAGCCCAAACTTTTTAGTTAATGTCCAAAGTGAACAACAAAAAAGTTAGTCCATCCTTCACTGTTTACTGTTGATTCTGATAATAAATGCAGCGTAATGAACATTTGCTTTCTGAGTCTGGTTCCTTGGTGAAACTGGAGACTTGTGAAGCCCATTTTACAAATGCTTACATAAAAACACTTAAGTGCCAGCTGCCAGCCATACATGAGAAAGACCCAGAGCTGCCACCAGGGACTAGCTCTGTGATATACAGGAGAGTATTTTGCTTTTTTGTGCATTAATTTTATTTACTAGTGTATTGATCCTGAGCTCAGTACACCATTTATTTGTAAAGGTCAAAATACAAATACTTTTTGGAAGACGTTGAGTGTACTAATATGTAACCATCTAGGAAATATTACTAAACCAACTGCTTAATTTAAAGTCTGCTAGTCACTGGAGATGCAGAAATGTATGAGATTCAGGCCCCTTTCTCAGGGAACTTATGCCTAAGCAACAAGTGCACAAGTAACTGCAGAGTAGATGAACACACCATTTTCTCAAGTTTAGAGGGAAGGAATAACCCCTTTTAGCTATAATCTCAGCACTAAAAAACAGAAAGCCAGAACTTTCCAGTGACTGCTTATATTGGAGCACTTGCTTTATCCAAATTAACCTTCCTGCAGCATAATTGTTCAAGGTAATATGAGGGTTGGTGTAACTAACCGGAACAGAGTTGATAGATGTGGCTCAGTACTGTGAAGCTGAGGTTTCACCAGTCTTGAGACCATTGTGTGTTAAATCATGTTCACGTAGGGTTTTCTCTAGTTCTTACAAGTATTCTTAAGCTGTATTTTGATGTTTTTGTCTGAATCATATCCCTTTTTTTAAAAAAAGAAAGGCTTTTTGAAACCACAGCTGGAGAAAAGCTGGAGTTGCCAGGGGAGGTGGGCATGCATTGTGTATGTAGGTGTGGACTTTTTTATTTGCCTGGCTGCTCATCTTCCTTGCACTTCATTTAGGATTTAGCAGCCAATAGAGGAACTACTTTCTTTGAACATGTATAAAGAACCATTTCTCTTCTGCCTAGTCAGAAGAGAAATTATTTCTTCCATACAGGCCCTTTTTTTTTGGAAGGTATATTGGGAACTCCAATCTGACTTTTTCTTTAGCATCTGAGAGTGATGACAAAAACCCCAGCTCTGTCCACATATCTGAATTACAGTGTCACTTTTGGAGATTCTAATTCTTCATTCCCTTGCCTCACTGGCTTAGTAACTTTCTGTAGTTAATGCTGTGATACAGAGTGTGAGACCTGAAGGCTCTCCAACAGTCCCTAAATGTCTGGACACAGTCACTGAAAGTGTCACAACAGCACAGGATCCAGATGATAGGGCTAGTAGACTCAGTCTGTCTTAACTAAGGAGCAGCTCTCCTAGACATGGAGGCTAGGCTGCCCTTTCTCACTCTCCAAGCAATGCTGTCTGCAGTTACCTGTACTCCCTTCTGTAAGCTTGTGGGATGCTTTGAAAGTCTTCTCAGCATCCTGGTTCCAGTTAGTTGCTGCCAGTCTGTCACATCAGGTGAAGGCTGCTTACATCTACCTAGTTAACTCCTGGAGACTGAGGTCTTTAAAGTCTTATTGGGGGTTTTCTGAATTTTTGAGTTCTGAAGATGCTTAACTTTGAATGAGCCTTGTATTATCTTGGCTCATGTAGTTAGTATGCATTTCCAGTGCACCCTGAGTGCTTGAGAATGCTTCGGTGTCCTTTTGCAGCTCTTCCATATGACTATAAGTCTAGATGCTACTGATGATTCTGATAATACCTTCAAATGAGCATGATGGCCATTCAGTGGATCTGTTACTCATGAGTTGGGACTGGCACCATAATAATTCTGTGATAAGCCTTCAGGTAGCATCACAGAGTGAATAAGAACTTATGATCTTAAGCCATAGACCTCAGTGCAGCCCATCATGCTGCCCAGGAGATAGATGATCTTGGGCGCAGTAGTCCTTGAAGAGGTGTTTTTCACGGAGATGAAACAGCACACACTTCCAGGCCATCCTAATGTGGCCATTTTGCACAGCACCTAGCTCATAGCAGTTGCTAGGAATATGTACCTCCACCTCAGCTACTGTCCGGGCCTATTCTGTGGGATTTGTCCAGGCTACTAGGGAAAGGTAATTACACAGGATAAATGAGTACGGAAGCAAGGATAACCACAGGCAAATCTTAACTCCACTGATGGCAGAAACCTTAGTCTCTTGATACACTTTGTAAATCCACAGTTAACTTTTAGTTTGTCTTTGTGGCCACTGACTTCCTCCTTCAGCCTGTCACAGAAATCCCTCTGCAAGCTCCCCCCAAAAATGTACATTGTTTTGGACAGGTGGCACTTGAGTGGACTCTCCATGTCTCATGTTCCTCTTGCCTGGTTTATCTGAGTTTTCAGCCTTTAATTTGGTCAGCTTATCTTTTGACTGGGCTTTTGATGAGATAATGTTTCCAAACAAGAATACATTGATAATTATACAAATACGTAAATAGAATCTCATGTGGCATCAACTATAGTCCGTTTTGTGATGAGTTTAGGCACAAAACACAAATGCTTTGTTAGTGGTTGACACTGCTGTCAACAATGGATATTTTGGGAGAAAGAATGGGTTAAAACAAATGCTAAGCAAGGAGAATGTTGGGTACTGTGAGTATACACAGGAAGGGTATCCTGCATTCTAAGAGGCAGTCATGAAAGGCTCCCTGAAGCAGGCACTGCCCAAGCTGAGGCTTAACTGGGATGAGAAGTTGTCCAGGTGAAGCATATTCAAAGTGGAGGGACTTTCACACATGTGCATGTGCAAGTGAAGGACTTCAAGTAAAGCTCATCATGACTGCAGTGGATGAAGAAGGGATGAAATCATGGTTTAACATTTTGGACTTAATTCTTAGGGCATCAGGCTAATTAAAAGGTTTAAGCTCAAAAGTGACAGAATGGAAATCTTTTGGGCTACATGGATGAGAATGAACTATTGGAAAAGCAATAGAGACAGGGAAAGAACCATAGTTTAGGCAGGAGGTTGTAACATTTGAGGCAGAAGCAGCTAAGTTCCAGTGACATTGCCAGGCCCCATAGGACAGGTGTCCTGGCAATTGAATGGGTGAGGCAGTTAGGAAAGGAAGAATCAAGAATGGCCTCTGGCCTCCTCTGGGGCATCTGGGAAGTTGGTCTGCTGTGTTACCCGTGAGATGAACTCAAGCTGCCAGAGGTTTGATCGCTCAGTGCAGGCACATTGAGTAGGCAGACATACGAGAATTTGGCATTTGGTTACTGAGATCTGTAATGTAGGGGAGAATTGCAATAGAGAAAGTGGCTAAGGAACTGTTGGCATGAAAGTGGTAATAGCTAGGGTAAGTAAATGCTTATCACCCAGATAATCTGAAGCTTCCAGGGGGTCAGAGCAGCAGATCTGAAGGATTGATATTCTCAGGTAGATGGAGGAATGCTGAGTAAGGAGAGGGAAAACCAAGAGAGTGCTCTCTCATGGCCCAGGGAGGGGGCATTTCTCAAGAAAATGGCTATTGGTGTCACATTTAAAGAAAAAGAGTGGGCTGAAAAATACACACTGGATTTCCTGATGAGGTGGTCAGATTGGAGGCTGCTTGGAGGGGCTGGATCCAGATTGCATAGGGATGCTGATGAGAACATGACTTATGTGTGGTCATGGTGTAGAGGTGAGAGCAGGTGCATAGCAACAGTATGGAAGAGGAAAACTGAAAGGTTAGGAGCTACTAAGCATCATAGAGGCATAAGATCAGCAAAGGATCCTTATAGCTACATCTGAGACAAGCAGGCAAATGGCAGCCAAACAGTTGCAGTCCTTACTTGGATTTTGTCTGGCAACAACCAGAATACTAACGAATGTCTAAGTGGACAACTAATCTATTCCAGTTTGTAGGCAAGTCTTACAGAGCATTCTCTGCTAAAGAATTCCCCAAGCTAGCCACAGTGGGACACCTGTAATTGCAGCTACACAGAAGGATCTCAAGTTTGAAATCAGCCTGGGCGACTTAGCAAGACCCTGTCTCAAAATTTAGAAAAAAAAAAAAGGGCTGGGAATATAGCTCAGTGATAAGAGTGTTTGACTACCTTACATAAGCCCCTGTGTTTAATCATATTAGAGGAAAAATAATCTCTAAATGCCCCAATATTTTAAGGAATAATCTTGAGCAGGTAGTTCTGCATAATTCCCATTCATAATAAATCACTTGTCCTCAAATTGAATAGTATCCTAACTTCACTCCTCCAGCTATTCTAAAATTGAGTTGCCTCCTTAGTAACAGCCCACATGAGTACGTGTATTTATTCTTGGATCAGTCAGTGGAGCTCATTGCTGTGAATTCTGCTAGTTTGGATGGCCTGAAGTTATTTATGAGCAAGCCTAAGTACAGAGCCTTCTATTCTTGGTGGTATGATAGTTCTGGAATGCTTGTTTTACATTCTTGCTCCTCTCTCTCAATACAAACTAATGATAACTTTCTTGCTTAGCTGTGCAGAAGGAATGACAGTTGCCCAGGCAGCCATCGGGCATGTGGGAAGGCTCCTAGTCCCCAATTGGGCAAGCTGCTGGCCTTAGCCTTAGTCATGGTTTTCATCCCCATTTTCTGTTTTGAGTGGAAATTGGTTATCACAGCTTTCCTACTGAATGATTTTTGAAGTTTCTGTTGTTTATTTTTAATAAGGGAGAGGGGTTTTTTGTTTGGGGTTTTGGGAGTTTTTTGGACTGGGAAATGAGGAAACTAATTAAAAAACTGACTGATGTAAAACCTTATAGATAATAGTCCATAATGTAAGCTTAGAGAAAAAGACAACAAAATTAACGGCAAGGTCAGACACTGCAGGACCAGCGTAAGCCAGAGCCATGTAGTGGGCTGTCTGAAAAGCCCATTCAGTGGTCACCTTAGTCCACAGGTTGTATTACCATCTGGAGCCATGCAACTTTTATGTATTGCTGTCCTGGAAGGCAGCAGTTGGACCTTCTATTATCATGAGAGCGTGTGTTTCTGGCTGCATGCTTCATCCAGTGCATTGGCATCAGCAGAACCATTGTCTCTTCTGGTCCACACGGTTGAAGTGGGCAAACAGCTTATAATAGTGTAGTACTTTTTTGGCAAATATTCATTGGGAATGACAATATATGGTTCATTGGATCTGTTTTCCTTGTTTAAAGCCATTGTGATAGAATTTCTCTCCTAGAACCTTCAGTAATATATTTTCCTTCTACATTACTAGCCATGTAACATACTTGGAATAAATGAGTAATGGATTTTAGCAGCATATTTAAAGTGATAATTTTAGAGCTGGGGTTATGGCTCAGTGGTAGGACTTGGCTACCATGGGAAAGGCCCTTGTTCAGTCCCCAGCATCACAAAAGATGATGATGATGATGATGATAGTAATAGAATAAAAAGAAATAAAATTATTTTTAAGAATTTGTGAAAGAAAAACTATTATTTTTACTTATCTTTCCTTTTTGATTATGATTGGTTGATTGACTCCAGTACTGAGGATTGAACCCAAGGCCTTTGCAGTGGGCTCCCCAACCCTTTCTTTAAAATTTTTTTACTTTTGAGACAGAATCTTGCTAAGTCACTGAATTCCCCAAGCTGGTCTGAAACTTACGATCCTCCTTCCTCAGCCTCCCAGAGTGCTAGGATTATAGATGTGTGGTATCACACCCATCTCCTCCAAATCTTTTATGTAAGAAAATTCATAAATTGGAAGAGAAGTACTTAGTTTAGGCCAACATCCTGACAACTGAAGAAGCTTAAAGTGAACTCTCAACCCCTGCCATGGTGAGAGCTCTTTAACTATAAGTTTATTTACCTGGATAGCCAGGCATGGTGGTGCATGCCTGTAATCCCAGTACTCAGGAGGCTGAGGCAGGAGAATCACCACGAATTCGAGGCCAGACTGGACTACCTGTCTGAAAACACAAAAAAGAATGATTGTTTACCAGGAACATGAACAGATGTCCTGTCAACTCAAGAGAGAACTTAGAGGCAGTGAAAAGACTTGTGTGCTGGCGGAATTGGAACTGGGGTCTGTTTCCCACGTGTGTATAGTGTAAACATTTCATAGTTGTTAGCCTACTCTGAGGCATTATTTTGTTGAGCACTATCATATTACCAAACTTTTTCATCCTTTTCCCTCCTGCACCTTACAGCTTCTAACCGAAAACCTTCAGTTGTAAAAAAGAATAGCAAGAGCAGAACGTTAACAAGGCAATCCATATCAAGAATTCCTGCTTCTTCTTCTACCTCATCTAAGCTAACTCATATGAATAATTCCAGGGTACCAAAGAAACTGAAAAAGCCTATAAAGCCTTTACTTTCAAAAATAAAACTCAGAAATCACTGCAAGCGGCTGGAGCAAAAGAATAATTCAAGAAAACTCGAAATGGGAAACTTAGTACTTAAAGAGCCTAAAGTCATCCTATATAAAAATTTGCCCATTAAAAAAGATGAGACAGAGGGACCAGTCCAGGCTGCAGCTGCCAGCAGGTGCTTGACTAGACATGCGGCCAGAGAACACAGACAAAATCCTGGGAGAGGTGCTCACTCGCAGGGCAACAGCTCGCCCTGCACCTACATAACCAGGCGCTCAATGAGGACGAGAACAAATCCGAAGGAGGCCTCTGACATCAAGCTGGAACCAAACGTGTTGGATGGCTATAAAAACAGCATGACTGAGCCTTTCCCAGACAGTGGTGAGCATCCAGCCCCCGTGGTGCAGGAAGAACTGGCTCATGAGACTGCACAGGAAGGGGAAGCCAAGTGTCATAAGAGTGATCCTAGTGTATCCAGAAAGAAGTCACGACAAGGAAAACTTGTGAAACAGTTCTCAAAAATAGAGGAATCCACTCTGGGACATGATTCCCCTGGAAAAGACAGTGTGGTGCCAGATTTGGTGGGGCCCCTTTCTGACCAGGGTGAGCCCAGTGGCACGGTTGGGGTTCCTGTGAGCTATACAGACTGTGCTCCTTCCCCTGTTGGCTGTTCAATTGTTACATCTGATGGCTTCAAAACAAAAGAGAGCTTTAGAACTGCAAAAAGTAAAAAGAAGAGGCGAATCACAAGGTATGATGCACAGCTAATCCTAGAAAATAATTCTGGGATTCCAAAATTGACTCTGCGCAGGCGTCATGATAGCAGCAGCAAAACAAATGACCAAGAGAATGATGGGATGAATTCTTCAAAAATAAGCATCAAATTAAGTAAAGACCATGAAAATGATAATAATCTCTATGTAGCAAAGCTTAATAATGGATTTAACTCAGGATCAGGCAGTAGCTCTACAAAGTTAAAAATCCAGCTAAAACGGGACGAGGAAAGTAGGGGGTCCTATACGGAAGGGCTCCACGAAAATGGCATGTGCTGTAGTGATACACTTTCTCTCCTGGAGTCTCAGATGGAAATGGATGACTACAGTCAGTACGAGGAAGAAAGCACAGATGAGTCCTCCTCTTCAGAGGGAGATGAAGAGGAGGATGACTATGACGATGACTTTGAAGACGACTTTATTCCTCTTCCTCCGGCTAAGCGACTGAGGCTAATAGTTGGGAAAGACTCTATAGATATTGACATTTCTTCAAGAAGAAGAGAAGATCAGTCATTAAGGCTTAATGCATAAGCTCTTGGTCTTAATTTGACCTGAGATAACTACTTTAAAAAAATAAAAAAAATTCCAGTCAGTTATTCCTCAACTGAACCATTTTAGTGGCAGCACTTCTATTGTCTCTTCACTTATCAGCATAATACTGTAGAAAGTGTACAGTGTACTGACTTCCTAAGTCTGATTTGTGCAAATTTTTATTGTACTTTTTAAATAGCCTTCTTATGTGCAATTCTGAGCTAGAGTTAAAGGCCTATTGTAAAATAAAGGCTCCAGCAAAATTGTACAGTGATAGCAACTTTCCACACAGGACGTTGAAACAATAATGTGGCTACACAATTTTTTTAAAACTTTGAGAGCATCAGCTGGCTCTTTAATATATGACTAAACAATAATTTAAAACAAATCATAGTAGCACCATATTAAGGTTTCTAGTATATGCTAATATCACCAGCAATTATCTTTGGCTTTTTGATTTATTTGCTAGATGTTTTCTCCTTGGAATTTTGTCAGTTTCACACTGTTTTGCTGGCCTGGGTGTATTGTTTGTGGCCTTTGTTAACATAGCAAAACATTGGTTGGAAGTCAAAATTGGTTTCTTTAAAAACAAATTACATGTGTGACAACTCACTTTTCAGTACATTATATGTACGAGGTTAGCAGTGTTCAGGATGAGTTTCAAAACAGCATATTTATTGCTTGTCATATAAATTAAAGACCTTGTATTTAACACTTTTCAATCCTTTTAGATAAAATTGTTCTTTGCAAGAATGATTGGTGCTTATTTTTTCAAAAATTTGCTGTGAACAATGTGATGACAACAAGCAACGTTGATCTAATGAACTACAGCTATATCTTAATTTGGTTCTTCAAGTTTTCTGTTGCACTTGTAAAATGCTACAAGGAATATTAAAAAATCTATTCATTTTAACTTATAATAGTTTATGAAATAAAAACATGAGTCACAGCTTTTGTTCTGTGGTAACCTATAAAAATGTTTGTCTTTGGGATTCAGTGTAAAGAGCTGAAAATGATGTATATGTTGTAAATATTTGTGTGTTGTGAGAAATTTTTGTCATAAAAAATTAAAAGAACTTACCAGGAAGGTTTTAAGTTTAGAAATATTCATGCCAATAAAATAGGAAATTATAAATATATAGTTTTAAGCACTGCATCAGTGGGAGTTCTTGGCTTATGTTAGTTTATTAAGAAAATATCAAAGATGTTTTGATTATATTGTCAGTTAATCAAAAAGAGGAGTCAGATTTAATTTGTTTTTTAAGCACTTTCAGAAGAGAAATTAATTTTAAGTAACTTAATGATCAAATTTGATTACTACTTTATGTTCAATACGAGGCTCTTTCATTTTTCTGGATTATTTTACAACTCAAAGAATTTGGAAATATAAATCTGTAACAGGTGTTTGACACCAGTAGGTCTCTATTTACTGGGAAATGTGTACATGTGTTTTCAGATATACAGTGGTCCTAAGTAAAATCAATTTAGGGGTCCATATAATGTCTATAGAAAAGTAGCCCATGTCTTAACATCTTAAAAGGAATCTGCAGGTAATGAAAAGTCCAATGGAAAAAACCTGAATGCTTAAATAATTGATACTTAACCAGTTTCCAGGTTTGGGGAACATTATTTAAAGTTCCTTAAAAGTATTACCAGTAGGTTCCAAATAGAAAGTAGTAAGATTCATAAAAGTTTGTTAGGTTCTGTAAAGAATTCCTTCTGTAGTCCTATGTAGTCTTATGCTTGTATGTTACCGTGCAGTCTGATCCTCAGGTATTAATTTGGAAGCAGGTGATAGGTAGACTCCTCCACACACACCCCTTTTTGCTGCAGTTTATGAAGTGGGGCAGCCCCACATGGTCTCAGGAGCTCCCATCCTGAGGCACCTAGAGCACTTGACAGATATGTCCAGTCCTGTTCAAGGGGACAGGGTCCCCTCACAGAAGCATGAGACACTACCAGAGATGAAGGTGGACACTCTGGAGTGTCGCCAAAGCCTGTGGGTCACTTCTCATTCCCACCTTTGCTTGAGGGTGTTTTGAAGATGTTCAGAGACTAAATCTTGACTTTCTTTGAATACAACAATAGCCATTTCAGGAATTTCAGTCTTAAGGCAGAAATAAAAACACATTTCCCATTTTTCTCCACTTTTAAGCTTAATTTTAGTAACTTATTTATGATTTTTTAATTTTATTGTGGCCTCATCTTTTGGGGCTGACCTTCCCATGGGTCTCAGAGCAGTGACATTTGGTGACAGGTCACTGCCTCTCAGGAGTCGGTATGCACAAGCACTCAGCAGCCTCTGCTGATGCCTTCTAAGGAAACTTAATTTCCGTTTCTAAAGGTAGGGGCCTCGGAACTGTTCTTGATCTGCTGTAGAACTTCACCATGTGGGAATGGTGAAACCCACACACTCTTGATCAGTTGGAAGAGGTTGCATTCAATAAAACTTTAGCTTGAGCTTATGCAATGATTGGTAACATTTTTGGCATTGTAATAATTAGGAAATGATCATAGAAATATATGTAAAGTATTCAATTTTCAATCATTTTTCAAATTACTGTTTTAAATTGTTTTGCTGAGTTGTAATACTTTTGAGATACAATGTATTCCTTGTACTGAAAGAATGAAAAAGGACTTTTTCAGCATTTGAGGTAAGTTCTTTAACGTTTCATTAAAAACATTTTTTACAAATATTTTGTACATGCACTTGCAGTATTGAGGTTAATCATTTTAATAAATTCGGAAATTAAAACAATTTGGCCAGTGTTCATTGTATCTGAGAAAAGTCACTTTGTCCACAAAGTGTTCATATGAAGCAAGTTGTAGACTAGGTTTCTAAGCTTTTCAGTAGCTGCAGCTGTTGAGTTCTCTGTCCCTTGGGCCACGCTGTGAGAGAGGATAGGGAGGCTGCTTTCACACTTCTGTAATCTCAGCACTGGGGAGGCTGAGGCAGGAAGATCACTGCAAGTTGGAGGCCAGCTGGGCTACATAGTGAGACCTTATCTCAAAAGAAAAAAAAAAAATTGGGGCCTTTGCAACCTGGTTATTAATGCTTCCCGGTTACTTGGATTTTCCCTCAACATACTGGATAGAATGTAGATCCAGCACTCTTGTGAGTCCTTTATATTCCCATTTACTATTGCAAAACCTTGAAATTGGACTGGCATAGGAATCATGAACCCCAAATTTGCCAAGCTTGGCAACACCTGCATACCCCTGAGCAAACTCTGGGCTCCAAAGTTCTTTTCCTAGCACCTGGCTGTCTTCTAGGTCACTAGTTGGTGGAGCCCTGTTAAGGTTGAGGACAAACTGCATCCCCTCCTGGTGAGGACAGAGTGAGTGGTGTAGGTCAAGCTAGTGACACACCCACCCAGTGATGGGTTGCCCATCTAGAACAGGCTAAAATGTGCATGCTGTTAAACACTCAGGTGGCTTATATGGCAGCTCAGGTTTTCTCTCCTTGCTAGTAGCCAATGGCAGTTTGCAACATACTGCTCAGAACCCTTGTGTGACTTGTTTCTCAAATACAAGCTTTCTTTTACCAACATGTACTCTGTCAAGTACCTGCAGCAAAATAGTAGCAGAGCAAGGTACCAATAAGCTGCCCACCTCTGACACTTTTTCTTTCCCCTCAGTACTGGGGATCAAACTCAGGACCTTGTGCTTGCAAGACACATGTGGTGCCACTGAGCTAAATCTCTGCGCCCCTCCCCCCGCCGATACTTTTGAAGCCCTAGGGTGAAGGTAAGTTTGACCGTAGCATGCACAGGAAGGAGAAAAGGTTCCCAGCTTTCTACTGCCTCTCTTGATGTCCTGAGCACCTGGGCATTGCTTGTGTTTGCTAGTGATGGAGCCCGAGTGAATTTGGATTCCTCAGAAAGAGCAGCAGGGTTGGTAAAAAGGGGTAGGTGTGTGACATCCAGGATTGGGAAAGGGGTTGGCTACCAATGATGCCCCCTCCCCACTTCTTGCACCTATATATTCATAGGAACCGCTGTAAAGCTCCCATGCTAAAGACAGAAGACAGACTGTGGGCTCATAAAGATGGCTTTCGTCACATTCTAAAGTCACTCCATTATCAGACCCTATGCCCACATCAAATCTGAGCTTTTCTGCTAAGCTAATGTAGACAATAACATTTATCCCCTGGGGCAGCCTCCCCCATAGGTCTGCTGTCTAAGGGAAAGCAGAACTCTGGTAATCTGTTCACACCTAGGGTGCTGGCCCCAGTCTTGAGACTCTGAGCAGGGAGGTCTAAGGTAGCAAGAGTAAAGTCACATTTCTCAAATAGGTGTGGAATATATGTTAGGTATTTGGGGTTGGGGAGGCAGAATTTGAATCAAACCTGAGGAGAGCCAAGCCTGGTGGTTCAGAAGGCCAAGGCAGAAAAAAATCACAAGTTCAAGTCCAGCCTGGGTAACTTAGCAAGACCCCGTCTTTAAAAAATTTTTAAAGGAGGCCGGGGATTTAGCTCAGTGGTACTGCTGCCTGCCTCGCAAGCACAAGGTCCTGAGTTTGGTCCCCAGTACAAAAAAAAAATTTTTTTAAGGAGTAAAGATATAGTACAGTGTAAGAGCCTAGGTTCAATCCCCAATACTAGGGGGGAAAAGCTGAAGGGGAAGGACCTAGGGAGGGAGGGCTGAGGACAGCCTGGGCCTCCCACACAGACAGGAAAGGAGGGTGGGCTGCACAAGGCCACCGGTCCTTAGTGACTTTGGAGAGCACAGCCAGTAGTTGAGAGAGTAGAGAACGGCTAGCAGCTGGGAGCAGAGGTAGATAACTTTATCAAAAGGACAAGTGGTATAACCTGGGACATGGGAAGCTTCCATGGGGTGTCGTATTCCCAAAAGGGGAGGGAAGGAGTCATTCAGAGTTGGGGCACATAGGGGTCTTAGGGGTATCCATCCATCTTCCAGGAGGAAAAGAGCCTTCTGGGTGTGGTGGAGGAGCCAGTCCACATGAAGTTGTATCCATAAAAAGGAGGTGATGTCATTGGAGAGTCAGATGAGAGCCCCAAGGATTGGGGAACAGGATGGAGATATGAAATCAAGAATGGGAAGGCAAGGTGACGTTAGAAACAGTATAATTCATTAAGGAAATATTTACCCATAACCTTCCAGCACCTGTGTCCTAGGTGACTGGGGGCTCAGGCTCGGGGTAGCACTTCTCCCCACAGACGTGAGCCTCTCTGGCCAGACAAGGGGCCACAGGAGGTGGGGGATGGAGCAGGAGGGAGTACAGTTGAGGCTGGCAGAAGGGTTGAATGGAGACCTATGCATGCATACACATCACGAAACAGAAGATGAGTTTGTGAGCTCAGTGGGTTGAAGGCAGAGGCACAAGGCAGGGACCTCTCTCTCTCTCTCTCTCTCTCTCTCTCTTTCTCTGTTGGTCAGAGAACCACTAAGCAATCATGGAATGAGCAAATGGAGAAGACAGGGTCAGAAGGCAGGTTCTGCAGCTCTGAAGGGTTGCATTTCTGACAATGCCCCTAGCAATGCAGTGGTCATGGTTCTGGAAGAACAGGATGCTGGTGTGACACAGCCATCCTTCACAGAGGGCCTCCAGAGCATTTGGCACCATGCCCCCGACACAGCCAGACAAGCTGGGTATGTGTGTGACAGGCAGAGGAGATGGCCTGCTAGGATGGTGGCCACCTCTGTTATTTTGGGGGGGTGGGGGGGTGGATTTTGTTTCATTTTTGTTTTCATGGTTCTGAGGATTGAACCCAGGGCCTTTATGCTGAGCTATGTCTCCGGCCCTTATTTTTATGTTTTACTTTGAGACAGTCTCATAAATTGCTAAGGACCCTCCTACCTCAGCCTTTCAGGGTGCTGGGATTACAGGAGTGCACCACTGTGCCCAGCTTGTCGGTGTGTTTATAAGGAACAAGGACTTGACATCCTGCCCAAGGCCACACAGTGAGTAGTCAGCGGCAGAGCCACTGTAGGCACAGGCTCTGCCTGAGCTACCCTGGGCAGTTCTGGAAGCCCACCTCTAAAAATTCCCTTGGTAACAACTAGGAACCACTGTGTTTTACTTTGTTGTGGTTTTTTTTTTTTTTTCTCGGTACTGGGGATTGAACTCAGGACCTTGCAATTATGAGAAAGACTCGGTGCCACTGAGCTAAATCCCCAGTCCTACTTTCTTTGTTTTGAGACAAGGTATTGCTGTGTAGCCAGGCTGGCCTTGAACTCATAGTCCTCCTGCCTCAGGCTCCCAAATGCACCAGCAAACTGCACATGGTTTACCTGCTTTCCATGCAGCTGGGAATGGCCAGGGGAATCTGTACCAAGGTTCTGGCATAAATGAGCCAGGGGGGCCATGGTCATTGGCCAGACATCCTTACAGCACCTGAAAAGTGGTAGTGGTGCCACTGGCAGAGCTCAGCCCATCTCATGAGAGCTGCAGGCCCGGGCCACCCTGGAAGAATGTGGACGCCCCTTTATCTGAAAGTGAGTGGAACACCAGCAGCAGGGACAAAGACAAATCCAAGGTTTCTTCTAGCTGCCCAGCTCCTGGACTCATGATTTCAAAGGTGACCTGACACAGATGTGCTCCTTAGGGCAAAGGAATAGGTGTTTGATCAGAGAGGATGTCTGGGTGAGCCTCTGAAAGGTAATTGTCACCCCTGGGATCAACTTTTCTCTCACAGGACACTTTGGACCCTATAATTACATGAATGGGAAGCAGAGCTCTCCAAACATGGATGTAACTCCTAGGGGCCCATCTGCTGAGCCGGTCACTTTCACCGCTGCTGATGTGTCTGCTCCCCTGAGAATCTTGGCTGTGTCACAGCTGCCTCGTTGGACCAGGAGCCAGACACTGACTGGAAGTGAGTAGAAACAACAGGCAGGGAAAATCTTGGACTAGTTTTCTTCCAGCTGTAGGGAGCTGGAGGGAAGCCTCTCCCCAGGGCAAACTCTTCCCATAAACTGAGTAGCTCTTCCTGTGGCCTCCCCTTCCCAGTCACACCACATTTTCCTTCAGGGGCTGGAGGGTGAATAGCACAAGGCCTCACCGACCTCCAGGTGCAACAGAGGGGCTGAGCCTGGGTCACTGCTGGCATCTCACTGGGTCTGACTGCTGAAGACCAAGTGAGAGCGTGCCGAGAAGCCCCTTGCCTGGGCCTGATGCCTTGGCCAGCAGTGTGTCCACCTTGACGATCTGCACCGGGCACCTCAGGCACCTCTTGGGCAGGGCTCTCCTTTCTGCCTCCAACCTCTGCCTGTGCAGCTGACATTGGTTCACGCCAGCTTCCACACGCCCCCTGGTGGGGATCCTGTCCCCTGTTCCCTGGGCACAAAACCATTTCAGTTCTTTCTTCCTCTGGCCAGGCTTCTGTCAGCCCAGTACCTGAAGACACAGTGCCACCTCTGCTCCTCTCCTGCTTCCATGTGCCTCTCTGGATTCATCTGCTTCCTTGACAGCCTTCCTTGTTTGAGTGCCAACTAGGTGCTGGGCACACTATAGGGATGACTTAAACCTAGCCCTTTTTTCAAGAGCCTCAGCTGGGCCCTTGGAGGGAGGCAGGTACACAAACAGCCAAGAATGATGAATGTTTGGCTACATGAATGTGAGAAATGTCATAGAAGTACAAGGAAGAGCAGGGCATGGTGGCAAATGCCTGTAATCCCGGCACTCAGGAGGCTGAGGCAGGAGGATTGCTGCAAATCCAAGGCTACATAGTAAGTTCAAGGCCAGCCTGAACTACACAGCAAAACCCTGTCTCAAGAAGACAAACAAAAAATA